AGGAGATACCGGTACAGTACCGATTGGAAGGGACAGCAAAAGGAAAGAAACTTTTAATCTGGGCACGCGGGGCTCGAGAGGGGTAAGCATTTGTTTTCGCCACTGCGCGAAATTTTCGACGTTGTGCTGCGGCGCGAAAATAGTTCTCTGTACCGTATAGGCAAGAGGCAAGAAGTTCCAATCTTCGATGGGGGAGAGGGGGGGTGACGAACAAGGCGTGTTTGGCGAGGCAAAAAAGTGAGTTCGTCAAAGCAGGGTAACATACTGTACTCTACAGTACCAATTGCTGCTGATCAGTCTATTCCTCACCTGTTGGTTTTGGTTGTGCACCCGTTGAACGCTCTACGAGTACAGTACTGCACTGTGCTCGTAGTCTACCAGTACCCGAGTATGGAGGTTAGTGATGAGATAGGAAGGGGTTTTGATTCCCGGCCGCTCAATGCCGCCAGAGGTGAAAAAAGAAATTCTTTGATTTGGTAGGAGTGATCTGGCATCTTGGGCTCCTGTCTACCGGTATCCCCTCACTTGCTGTGCCGGCACAAGTACGGTACCCATACTTGTGCTAATATCCCTGGACTGCTGAAACTTTGAGAATTTCTTGCCGGTCATGTCATCGTCTTCAGTAAGCGACGCTTTTGTCGAGCCACGGTATCAGAGGTCGCCATTGTTCATACTTCGGGACGCGCTCGTTGTGGAAAGTACGCCGGGGACATGTGAGAACTATGAAGAGGGGAAGTGGCAATCAGGGCAATTTAGCTCTCATACCAGTATCACTCATGGGGGCACAAATAATGCAGACCACCGAGTAGCATTTCTCTGCCTGTTAATTTGCTCAAGACATACACCAATCAGAATGGACTTGCCAGACTTTCATCTTTTCATTTTTCATTTCAGGTTTTATAAAACTTTATTTGCCGGGCTTTCCCACAACCCCTGGTATGATACATGGGTTATAAGGCCCCACTAAAACACTCTCGTAAACAAGAAGGGGCGGAGGAATAAAAAGAAATAAAGAAGAGAAAAAAGACCAAAGGGGAGAGAGGATGATAGAGGGGAAAAAAAGGTTACACTGGTATCATTTTACTGAGACCATAGTTTTGCTCTCTCCGGCATCCCCTATCTCCTTCTCCCAGCCAATGTGCTCTATTTCTTGACTGCTTTTTCTGTGTGAGCCAGAAGAGCATCTAAAGGCCTTGTAAGTAAGCCAACGCAGATGATCAAGAATCATTTTCAACTTACCGTGCCCCTTCCCCCCAATGATTGCTAAAGCAGGATCCTACCCTGCCACTCCACTACTCTCATGGTTCCGAAGTGGTGCATCTATGGAAGAAAAGCATGTATACACTAGAAGCAAATCATGTTCCCGGTGGAAGTAGTACGGAAGCACCACAGGGACGGAGTGATGACTGTCCGGAGGTGACTAACAGTGGGAATCATTGTGAAACCTGTTTTCTTTCTTTTGTTAGCTTGGGGGTGCGCAGGGAGAGGGAAGAGAGACTCGCAAGTGAATAGATATACGTGGCGATCGATAGAAGAATAGGAGGATGACCTGGCTGTAATTTATATATACTCCTGTCCCTACTGTTCTCGTTAGTTAGTTGAGTTGTTCGATAGAGCAAGAGAGAGAACGTTGAATGAGAGTGAACTCCCCCACCTTCCCAAAGTCTCTTGCCATTTTGCTGTCCCCACTGTTCGAAGTCGTCAAAGCATTTACCTATAAAGTTAGCTTACCTCAGGACGGGGTCAGCGAAGCCATACCTAGCAAATGCTTGCTCTGGGCCCAACATGGCCCCACACTTTCCGTCTCCTCCTATTGTAGTCGTGTAACACCTCCCCTCCCTCTTATGAGTAGACTTCAAGTATGATATCAGGTAGCTTGATAATTGTTTGGGGGGTTGATGGCAGAGCCCCGTTTTACAGTTTTCTTTCTCTAGTAAACCAGTTCGCCGACCATTATGCGATTTCGCCGTAACCTTATTAGCAACGTTTTTCTATGACGCTTGTCACTTAAACGACACGCAGACTCCCCGTTCGCAGAGCCTTCGTGGAAAGAGAGGTATCATCACCTAACACCCCCGCTTCACTCGGCCCAACAACTCCATTGCCGCAAAAACTGCAGATATTCATTAGGTCCAGACCAGGATGCCTTAATCCCGGGTCCGCTAAGACACGGTACTGAATAGCTCTAGAATTTGGCATAATGAATGGATTGTGTGATTGATTAGTGTTTGTTGGCACAAACCGGCCAATGAGAAACACCCTCTTGAGCTGAATTCCACCATGCCGTAGCGCAACTCTGGCTAATTTCTCATTCGGCAATAAAAGGTACACTTCCTTCGCGGTAGTAAGTCTGTGGACTGTTGAGTAAGGGCAGTGGTGGCGGCGCCGATCCTACGAGTACCTGTTCGAGTACCAGTACTCGAGTGCAAAGATCTTGTAGCTCCTCAGGTACCCCATCAACTCTGGCCTCGGAGGGCAAGGCTGGGATAACTCTTCCGGGAATTTTTCTTTTTTTAATCTGGTAACGGCAAGTTCCATAGAGGATATTTTCCCCCCATAAATGGCTTCTGCAATCTTCCGGTTGAAGACTGCCGAGACTTTGCGATGCATTGGGCGCTACGAGAACTCTGTGGACCCGAGGGCACTATGCATGCGATGGTGCAGGCAGAGCGGTTTCCCTAATGTTACGATACTTGTTGTTTGTTGGTACCGTATTTGGACGCGGCGGTTGCTGTCCGAGTTGGCGTTTCTCAATGGGTGAGGTAAGGCGCTCTGATGAATGACTAAGTTGGAGGTTTCCTTGATTAGAACTGGTGTTGGATTTACGAACTGATGGCTTTAGAATTTCTCCTTTTATTGTATTCTTTCAGCGGCTCCGCATGTCGCTCGCCAATGATAACCTTATTCGATTGCGCTGGCTTGGAGTGCCGTCCGAGAAAGCGCCGTGACACAAGGCGGCAGTCGGGCATCAACGTGGGAGATACCGTACCGGTACCCTTGCCCGTGGGACATCCACAACCATGTGGCGAATCTGCGTGAGGAGCATTGCTCGAGCACAAGTACTCTACCAGTAACGCCGGCCCAGCATACTCGAGTAACTTATCGGGTTGTATAAACGCTGGCAATAGAGGTTTTTTATTGAAAGTTTTCGATTTCCCAGAAGGTCCGTGGCTTTGAGACACGTCCTTAGTGAGGGCATATTATCTAACCAGAAGCCAATGAAAACATTAGCCGAAGAAGTCAACCTTTAATCCCTCTTCAAGCGGCTTCTTTTAAGTGAGGAGGACTGGTGCTCATAACTTTTGTCTTAAAAAGTTTTCGACAAAGTGGATCAAACCGTGGGGGCCAAACTCCTCTGATTAAGGGAGTTTGAGAGTGGCTCTTGAAGTTTGAGAAATCGTCGGCGAGGTAAATGGTATTTCGGGATTCCCGTGTGCAGTACCGTAAACGGAGAGAACCCTTGGCAAGGATGACAGGTGTGTACTAGTACTAGTACAAGAACGAATACCGGTACTTGTGCGAGGATGCCCGCGAAGGGGCTCGTTAGCCGGAATGGACAGGGGTATATCTGACTGGTTAACAAATAGCTGCTCTGTTACTTCCTGTGGGATTACCGGTATTTGCTAACAGGATTTGATAAGGGAAATGCGATGTGCGGGTGGTGGGAGATCCTGGGGAGATCTGGTCTGATAATTTGGTTTCTCCACCAGTGAATGAGGTTGGTTAAGCTATGGCACTCTCCTCTGATTGTTTCTGGTTTTCTTGTGGCGCGACGTACTGTACTACTTGTAGTACTAGTACATGATGGAAGCGCTCTGTCTGCGATACTTTTCCCCCTTCTAGTTGTTAGAGGACTATCGCAAATCTCTAGCCTTTTGAGAGTAAGCTGCCTGGGACTCTGCTGCGTTATATCGTAGATGCCCCACGGGTTGCTGCATGCATGCCCTCAGTTGTTGGGGGCGCTCAAAAGGTAGTTGGGCCCACTGATACCTGTATACTGCTCTATGGAAGCCTTCAAGTCACAAACCGGGGATGGAGGGATGGACGAGTGCTTTGAGGTTTCTACGCAGTGAGGACTACCGGCACCGCTACCAACCAGGTGCTAAAAGGAGAGTGAGCAGTGCATCGTTGGATACCGGTAGATGTCACTGAATCCCAGTATTCCTGGGTTCTGCTTTCACCACTTTCGCTCTGCGTTTGCTTTGAGTGGGAGCCGACTCTGTAGTTGCGGCCAGCCACAAAAGGTTGGTTTCCAGTCTGGCTTCCCGCGGGAATGCCAGCTTTGGTGGGCTAGAGTTACCATACGTGAAACTGGGGGTGCACTGTGCCCGGGGCATGGGCAGGGGGGAAACGCCTGTGCGAAGAACAAAAAGTGCCAATTTATTTGTTTGGCTATCACAAAGTTGGTGTTATTTTCCTTTTTGGGTATCAAGGAGTCTGGACTTGGACGAATGAAGGAATTTTTGCACTGGCCTCTTTACCCTTGCTTGTCCCAATACCAGTGCTTCCAGTCGTCCACTCCGTCCTAGGCGGGGCCGGGATGACGGAGGACGAGAATGTCTCGTCTTTGGACGGACTGGACGACTGGGAGCATTGCCCAATACATCCCCCCATACCCCCAGTACAAGAGTCTTTATATCCGAGTGGACATGATATCTTTAATACCGAGTCTCGAGAGACCAACCGGTAACATCTCAAGGTAGACTCTATCATCGCACAGAGGAGAAAATCCAACTCTTGCGAGTGAGCAATACCCCACTTCCAGTCAGTACTACCCACGCCCGACACCAAGTTTTAGGAAGATTTCGTAATGAATAAGGCTGAACGATGACTGGACTACCGGTATGGGATTTATAAGCTGTTGCCTGCGCTGAGGATGAACCAAAGAGATGAAGAAACTCTCTTCCGTCCTTAATTCCTCCGAACGGGATCAAGATATGTTATGCTAAAACCACTTCGACGCATGGGATCATCTTCGCGAGTCTCGTCTCTGCTTGGCACGCATTTTTCGGTGATTGGGGACCGCTGTCATAACCTCTCACTCACCCGCTCTGTGCTTGCGCGAAAGATTCGCGGGGCAAAAAAATAATAATCCTGGGACACTTGAACTCGAAGGCGTTTTTGTTCGAGAGCGCACACGTCGGGCGTTGGATGGGGAAAAGAGCTAACTTAATACAGGCAGTACCAATCACAGCTGGTGTATACCTGAACGAGAGAATCGCTCCATACACCAATCAATATAATCGGGATTCTGATAATGAAGCGCTGGGAGCTTTGAGCGTTCTTCTACCTCGTGTGTTCCATCCTCGTCCCGGTGCGCTAAAAACTCCCCGATGTCAAGAAAGACCGGCAAAAGGCCAAGAAGTTGGTAGGGAAAAGGTATGGGGAATGACCTTTTCGTGCAAGATCGTGTTTTTTTTCCTCTTGTGTGTTTACCTAGATTCTAGTCGTGGGTGGAATGGGTCCGATGCAATCTACCGCCTTATGTGATCTTGCAACATCACTCGACATCTATTCTACGGTTTCCCATCTCTTCTCACACCTCCCTTCACGCTGTCTTGGTATTTTGTCTCAATGTCAAAGCTCTATGTATCTCATATTGAGAAGGGAATATCTCTGCCCTTTCCGCTAAGTCTACCCCGGGAAAGTCTGCCAGGGGGGGTCTAGAAGAGTGGAGGATGTCGTTGGGCTTAGGCGTAAAGAGAGGAACGGTCAGCTATATCACAAAGGATGTACTAGTACAGTACTAGGTGAGCCTATTATTTACAGTAAAAAAAAATCTCGAGTGATATGGCTGCCTGCTCTGTCATTCAGGTTGCCTGCCTCCTCTGATCCTGATATGAACCCGAGGGGGGTATTTTTCTCACCGGTATCCAAGAATGGGAATTTTGGACATCTTAGCGTGATGTTCAGCCGTTCTAGTAAATATGGTATTTATCAGATCGACGTTCTATATCTATATCACTTTCCTGGCTCAATAAATCATGAAGAGAATTATTTGGCATTAATCAAGTGACACAACCCGTGATACTCTCTGATCTCCTCACCTGAAGATATGGGCAACGCAACACTGGAAGAGTTCACTAATGTTGTGATCTGGGCTACGATATACCTCCGCCGTCGAGTCACTAGTCGTAGCGGGTAAAGGGGATTGACTGCGTTGAGAAACTCCTGTCATGGACATTGATCGAGCATGGCAGTTCTTCTGCTTGCTGCGGTGGGTTTTTTTTTATATTACTTATGAGGTTTGCTTTGCGATATACGGGGGGGATTATACACCGGATGCAATATCTATGTACGATCAGAGCACCACCTCCCCTCATCGAGGACAAAGGCAATCCCCTAAGGTCAGGGTGTTGACTATCATAATATCATACTTGAAAAAAAAAAAAAAACACTACCATTTACCATCTCAGCACTCAAACACTCTCTCCAGTCCTCGACTATCTTGAAACCAACGCCAAAATCAGAGGGAACACAGGGTCCCCATGAAAACTTGAAAACTTGAAAAGAAAGAGAGAAAAATACTTACAGATAAATACCCCCTCGCTACCCCACACACAGACAGAGAAATAATAGCAATCTCAACCACTTAGCAGAACATCATCACATCAATATGTCTTCACCGATCAACACCACCACCACCACCACCACCACCCTCACCGAGAAAATCGCCAGAGCCCTAACCCTAGCGAAAGAAATCGGCCTAGCGCTGATAATATGCTACAGGATGCCCAGCGCCCAAGCGCTGGAATCCGAAGTCGAGCGGGTGATCGGTGTGCTCGGCCAATTGGTTGATCACGTAGAGAGTCCTGCTGCCGATTTGGAGGCGGCCGATGTTGTGGTGGAGAGGTGCTTTGATGTTATACTTGAGATTCAGGAGGCTGTTGAGGGGTTTTTGGATGTCGAGAACGCGAGGGATTTGGGGAGGGGTTAGGAGGGAGTTGGTTTGTGGTTTGTGGGTTGTTGGAAGGTGGTAGGTAATGAAGAGTCGGTTTTATAATATCATAATATTATCATAATACTATTACGGCAAAGGTCTCATGTACCGCTCATTTTTTCAAAAAGGACAAAAATCCTCTCAGATACAGCTGTACTGTACTCATGCATGCCACTGCAAATTCATTATGTGGGTTTATTTGTGACCAATTCCAACAAAAGAATTTGAAAACTTTTCAAGGTTGTGCGGGAGGAAAGGAATTTGCCAGAAAAGATCCAATCACAGAATCCAGATATCGCACAAAAAGCCCACGAAGTGTGAAAACGTAGCAATCGAAATTGAAAGCTGGTTACGAGATTGCCGGCACGTCTCCAGAGCTATGTCCAACACAATCGCGACTTGAGCACTTCTGGCAGAACTTGTTACAATATATCAATGTTGTAGATTCGGAGCATACCAGTGTCGAATTCTTTTAATTACAGAGGAAACTTGCATGATAAATTCGCAGCGGTATCTGAGGGTATGGTGGTATTTGAGGGGATTATTTTTGAAAAATGGGTGGTAGATGAGAAATTATCAGTATTTGTTAGCAAAAGTTGTATAGCATTTCAGATCTTGACAGCTTTTTATGGGTCGGAATGGATAACATTGCTCGGAAATAAAGAGAGCCCGACACGTTCATCATACTTGAACCTTTACAACGACACTTTTTACAAGCACCCTTTGCCAGTGATACGAAGGCCGCAGTTTGAAATTAACACTCCCGTTTACAAGCAACCTATCAAAATCTCCTACTTGACATAAACCTCCCCATGTCACCTACAAACCCAACCCTCCCCTCCCCAACCCCAACCGAAACCCCCACAACCAAACATCCACTGTTAACAGCTAAAGCAGAGCGAACGATAATCACCCATAATGCAAAACCAACCAACCACCACCACCACCCTCCGCCAGTCCATAGCCACCGGCAGGTCCCTCGCCAACTCCCTCCTGCGCACCCTCTCAGAACGCCCGCAGGTACCCGAGGCCCTGGAGAAGATTGAAGCCGTGCGGAGCATGCTAGGGGTACTGAGCGCGCTCTCGGCAAAGTTACTGAAGATGCGGCCGGAACCGGAGAGGATTGAGAAGGCGTTGGAGAGGTGTGTTGGGATTTTGAGGAGGGTTGAGGAGGAGGTTGCGGGGATGGGGGGTGGTGCGGAGGGTAATGGTGGTTCATGATGTCTCTATTTTGGGGTGTGGATAGGGTCTGAGGGTTGTATGTATGTGAGGAGGGGGTAAATGACGTGAGGATGGATGGTTGGTTGGGTGAGTGAAGGAGCTGCTGGGGTAAATTGTGGTTGAAGTTAGGTTTTAGTTGCTGTAGCCTGTAGGTGTACCCCGCCGGAAGTACTCTAAGGGCTGTGGCTGTGGAAGGGATGGTCTAGATGATGATTACACCCTTGATGGAGTCATTAAGAATCAGGTTCAAGAGGATTGATTAGATATAGTGGGGCACGGGATGAATCCCCCACCCATAGACAAAATTCATGTGATCTACCGCAAGAAGAAGCTGCATAACTCGTATCATATAAATCTGAGAAGTGATCGTTATCATAAATCTTCGACCCGAAAACGTCAGTATGTGAGGACCACTAGGCGACGGAAAAGCACTTACATAATACAGCACAATCCAGCAGAGCACATTGAACCCCCCCTTCCCCGCCTCGTTCAGTCATTACCCATTGCCTCCCCTCCCCGAATTCCATCACATCAAATCTCGGACTCCAAACACCCCCAACATAGCGTAACGAAAACCAACCAAACCACATCCCCCAAACTCCTCTCCCACACCCTCTTCCACCACAACCCCAACCCCCCTAATACCCCCCCTCCTCCCCAAGAAAAAGGTCTACAACCCCAACCACCGCATCCAAAGTCCTCCCACACCTCTCCACAACCTCCCTCTCCGCACCCTCCTTCCCACCCCCATCCAAAAGTCTTCCCAGCACCCCATCCAGCACCTTCCCAACATCGTCCACACCCCGGATAATCTCATCCACGTGTGGCAACTGTGGACAAATCAGTAGCGCGGCACGCACGTCCTCTGCCAGGAAGCGTGCGCTGGCGGCGGCCCTGTATAGCGCTTTCGCCGATGAAGGTTTTTGTTTCGACATAGTATTGCAAGTTTCTTGAGAGGGTTTGGAGAGGGGGGAGGAGGAGGAGGAGGAGGATGTTAAATATGGTCTTGCTTAGGTGCGCTGCCGGTGGCGCAGACTTGGTATGATAATAGAAAAGGTAAAAGAAAAAAAAAGAAAAAGGTTGGCGGTTTTTTGTTTAGAAGAATGAAAAAATCGCCTCAGGCGCCCGCGGAGGAGATATACCGGTATGTGTGGTTGTGTGTGCTCAGCTGATCTGTCTTTAAGCGGTGTGGTGGGTGTGGTGGGTGTGATAAGATCTATATAAGGGAATGTCTATTGTAGTGTACCGGTACAGTAAGGTTGTCGCGGTTGTAAGTATCGTGAGACTTGCTGCGGATTAGAAGGATGTTTGGAGAGGGCGCAGTAGGCGGAGAGCATAGAGGAGGAGGTAAAACTCCCGCGAGTGATGGTCTATGATACTGTGCTTGTGGGATAGGGTATCATACCGGTAGGGAAGGGGGTTGGTCGGTACTTTAAGTGGGAACTTGTAGGAGGAGGGGGTACAATAACGGGTATAGGGAGCACGTGGGTGGAAAGGCTTGGCAGGGGGTGGGTACCGTGGTTTGCCCGCTCGGCGGGGTTCCCGCGTAAATGCCGGTATCGTATCATACTCGATCTACACCAGATAAATTCAATGTGGACATTCGGTAATGGAGTGGCTCCAGAGAAACAAAAAGAGTCCAGTCGTATTCACGAATCACACTGGCCGCTGGTAAGATCCATCCACAATTCCAGCGCCGAAAACACACCCCATAGTAAGCGAGGCGTTAACAACATCATTTTAGACACACCTATATCAAATCTACCCGAGTCCAAATACTAGTACCGTGCCCGGGTACCCCCCAATGCTCACAATCCCTCACTCGTGCGCTCATACCTTATGCGGGTGAAGAATCTTCATTCGCACACGACATGCCGCAATAATACCCCATCATGCCGAGGGTGATGGTGAATCAGTAGCGCCCGATTCTCTGGAATACACGACCCCACTACTCCTCCTCACCGAACGGATAATTAAACTTCAACAGCCCGTTCAAACCGCCGACCCAGCCGTCATCCTCCCTCCCCCCAAGCCTCCCCTTCAAGCATGGGATACCACCCTTTTCACCATCAATCTTCTCCGCCCAGACTCTAACCTCTTCACCACGCCCGATCCCGCCCCACCGGCGACCGTCAACGCTGACTTCTACATTTCCCGCACGGTTCTTGGCCGAGAGCTTGAGTGTGAGGACACAATCTGCGGGCAGGACTAGTGGACGGAAGGATAGAGAGCGGGGGCAGATGGGTGTGAGAAGTAAGGAGGATACGGAGGGATGAATGATGGAACCGCCGGAGGAGAGAGAGTACGCCGTTGAACCAGTTGGTGTGGCGATGATCATGCCGTCGGCCTGGGGGGTTAGTATGCCCCTATAGTAGAGAGATGGGGGAAGAGGACAAACCACAGCCTCAGTGAGAAAGCGCCCACTAACAAACACCTCCACAACCGCCAAATGCGGAGACTTTCCTCGATGGATGTTGACCTCATTCATTGCATGGGCATCTACCATAATCAGTCACTCTCCCCGCCGCACTAATCGCAGACTAAACTCACCACCAATGCTCTCAAACTCCCACTCCCCGGTAACCCTCTTGCCATCGCAGTCGTAAACGCCAACCTTCAGCCTTTCCCGCCGGAGCACCCTCGCGCCGCCGGCAAACGCCTCACCAACTGCCTCGGCGTGCTCCTCCCACTTCCATTCCCCCAGGAATCCTAGCGTGCCCATAGCAAAACTCAATACCGGCGGGACCATACGACAGGCCGAGAACAAGGATGCGGCGTGGAGGATTGTACCGTCACCGCCGAGGGTTATCAGGAGGTCGGTCTTGTCATGGTAGAGTCGTTCCCCACGCGGGCCCAATTCTCCTCCCCCACTGCTGGTTTCATTCTCCTTCTCAGAGATGCTGGGTTGGGGTGGTGGGATATGGGTTTGTCGTGGGCTCAACTGCGGAGTGCGTGGATACGTGGACTGGGTATAGGGAAAGGGTGTGGTACTTTCTGAAGGGGGGAGCGTGTAGACGGGGAAATGAAATTCGTGATGCAAAGAGTGGGCTGTGGATGGCTCCAGAATAAGGTTTGTGGATGGGTAATTCGCTTTCAGATGCCTTTTTATCAGTCAAGATAATCCCCTTCGAGAGTAAAGGGGAAAGGGGGAAGGGAAGAAAGGACTCACCTTGCCAGCGACACCAGAGCACTCCGAACGATGGGTACGTGCCTCTTCTTCACGATGAGAACATTGCGTGGCGGAGCACTCCAAGTCAACGTGGACAATTTCGAACTCGCAGTCCTCGCGAAAGCCGGGCGTGTTCGATCCTCCAGATTTGTTATGGAGAGAACGTCCTCGCGAATGGCGCTGGCCGATAACCAGCGTCGCCTCTGAGAGGGTAGAAGTAGAGACTCCTCCCCCCGGCGAAGAAGGCCGACCGTGCGGACAGCTGAAACCATGGGTAATCGGCAGGACATGATATCTCCCGCGAATTGGATTGAAGATGAAAGAGTGTTTTTTTTCTTTCCTTTTTCCTTTTCCTCTTTTCCCCCTCAGATCGACGGGGGTTTCACCCATCCATCCGTTCACTGGCTCATGCCTTCTGCGGTAGACTAAATTTAATGGGATAGCGGTACGGTCGGCAAGGTGTATTAGTCATCGGGGCGTAATCCAAGGACGAGAGGAGGAAGGGTTCAAAGTGCCGGCTGCCGTGCTCTATGATACTCTCTCCACGCACGGTGCCGGTACTCGTACAGTAGACCATTTGACCTTCTTTTTCCCATTCCTCGGACAACCGAGACATGGGGGGCAGCGTAATTCAATGAGTGCTAAGCTTTTGGCGCTTGGCTTGGCGATGGTTTCCGACTTGGCGGGCAGCCAGCCAATCCTGTGTTGATCCGGTCAGCACTCGTGTTGATCAAAGTACTCGTGGTGGGTGGGCTATGATAGACAAGAGCCTGCTTGAGTACCGGTACTCGAGTAGGTAGGAGTAAATTGTCTAACTCGCAACCATATCCCGCCCTCTTGGAAGCTCTTGGGTGGACGCGTACGCAGTTGCTCCTCCTCCCACTGTGCGAGTGGGTGTGGGTGTGTGCCATCATTGTCCGGGTGTTGTTGTGTCGAAGGATGGCCAGCCATACTGTAGACTACTCGAGTATGCCTTGGGTTTGGTTGGGTTAGCGGTTGTATATTAATACTCGCATTATGATAGTTTGCTGGAGCTGGTGTGAGAGAGCCTGGTGAGGGGGTCCTGTGAGGCCATAAATTGTTCCCCCATCCCCCCGGGGATACTTATCCTTCCCCTCTCTACTAGTATCTCTCTCCCTGTTCGCTCAACGAGTTACTGCTACATCGGAGAAGGAAAAAAAAATATTCAAATCTCCACAGAATCCCTCCCACACAGCGATGGCTTCAAACGAATATTACGGTGGCCAACCTCAGTACCCTCCTCAGGCCGCTCCTGGATACCCACCGCAGGCTTATCCTCCTCAAGGTCCTCCACCACAGGCGGTATGTTCTCGCGCTGGACGCTGAATGGTGAAATTCCTGCGGGCTGATAATGGCTCGATAGATGGTCTACCAGCAGGCTCCCCCTCCTGTGCAGGAGAAGAAGAGTGGCAGCGGTGGCTTCTGCGCTGGCATGTAAGTTGGATACCCCCCCCCCCACACACACACCGGTACTGTAGTCTACCGGAGTACCGTACTGTAATGTACGAGTACGGGGCCAGCCTGATGATACTAACGAACAAGCCCAGATTGGCCGCACTATGCTGTTGCTGCGCTTGCGACGCCTGCTGCGATTGTTTGGAATGTCTTTGCTAGGAGGGTTTCATGGAGTTCTTTTCTATTGTTATAATTGTTCGGTTTTCCTTTGGCTTTAACTGCCAGTCACTCTGCCCGCTCATCAAGATGAGGAAATTGTGACACTATTATTTATCCATTTTTTCCCTCTTTTCCTTTGTTTTTTTTCCCCTCGCAGGCTAGAGCCAATCCTACCGCGTTGGGGAATGCAAATTTCCCTTCACATTTTTCCGCTTGCCACCTCTTCGGTGTGGGCATGGTGATGGGATGGGTGTGTGTTTCGTCATGTCAATAGGTTTGATCAGTCAGCAGCTGGCTGGGCGAGAGTGGGAACAGAGCTCCCCCCCTTTGAAACAATTTCCCATTTTGGTGTTTTGACCATCACACAGCAGCGATGGAGCCGAGACAGAGAGCAGCCAGTTAGTCTACGAGTAGAGAAGGTGCTCCGACTCGCTGTCCTGGTCAGGCCTATCCCATGCTGCTTGATCGGTTTGCTCCATACAGTACGAGTATTCGCACAGTGCTTGAGTAAGACAACGAACGGTAGACTGCAGTATTCATCGCTTTCATCGTAGCCTTGAAAAACTTCACCCACCACTATCCATCTCTACAGACCCCTTACTTTTCTGCTTTATCCACAAAAAGTCACTCGATTTCCCAAACTGTCATTGTCATCTTATCTCGGAAATCCAATCTCTCCACCGTCACGCCAAGTGACTCAGGTAATCATCCGAACCAAAAGTCTTGGCATCACGGCTTCGGATCCGGAAAATGTGTGATAAACTTCAAGGATGAGGGAGAGCGGGAATCACTCTTCCTCTCTCCAGCGACCGCTGTTGTCGGTCTGCCCACTTTCCATCGTGATCGCGACTTGCCGGCTGTGGTATGATAGGATAGAATAGACACCCATCACCCCTTCACTCTCTGCATCACTGACTTGTCCGGCCCGCGCAGATCCCCCCCCACCATACATACTACGTCGGAACGTCCCCTAGCATATGTGAAGCCCGCCATGACATCTGCATCACCATCTCCCTCCACATATCTACCCCCCTTGCCCCCGCCCTCGCAAACACGATACCCTTCTCACCTTGGGGAGTGGGGATGGGTGGAAGATAACGAGGAGAAATTAAAACGCTGGTCCAGCTTCATCGGCATCATCGTGGCCATCGTTGGGAACCTTCTGATTTCGCTCGCCCTGAATACCCAAAAATATGCGCACGTCAGGTTACAGCGGGCGAAGGAGCGCCGGAGGAAATTTCTAAGGAGAGTTCGACGGCGCCTGTTCAATTCCCGCCGAAACTGGAACGGGAATGGGAACGGGGAACCCTTATCACCACCCCTTTTCCCACGCGGGGGTGTGGACGGGGAGGAGGGGTTCATGAGGGCCCCTGTGCATTCGAACTTTTCCACAGAATCTGGAGACAACGATGAGTCCCCACCAGATGAAACGTCATTACTCCTCCCCCGCAGTTCGCACTCCACCGCTTCCAAAGAGGACGATGAGGAAGAGGTACACCCCCCGGACCACCGGTACCTCTCGTCACCGTACTGGTGGCTTGGTCTAGTCCTCATGTCGATCGGGGAGTGCGGCAACTTTCTCGCCTACGGATTCGCGCCTGCAAGTATTGTATCCCCGCTTGGTGTCGTGGCGCTGATCTCAAACTGCGTCATCGCGCCGGTTATGCTCAAAGAGCCATTCCGCGGCCGAGATCTCATCGGTGTTGTGGTCAGTATTTGCGGCGCGGTGATTGTGGTCTGGAGTGCTGAAAAGGAGGAAGTCAAGGTTGGTGATCATAATCCGAGTATTTCTTTTACTGGCCCGTCTGTATCCTGACTGGCTGTTGTGTTGCGAAATATAGCTCGGGCCCGGTCAGATCCTTGAGGCCATATCGCAGATCGCTTTTGAGGTTTACTTTGTGATTACGTGTAGCCTTATTGCGCTGTTTATGTATCTTTCTCCAAAGTATGGGAGAAAGTACATATTCATTGATCTTGGACTTGTAGGATTATTCGGTATCCCCCCCATCCTCCTTCGCAATGAGGTTACTAATGGAGGGCAGGCGGCTACACTGTCCTCTCAACAAAAGGAATATCATCCCTTCTCTCTTCATCTTTCTACCGAATCTTTACCTACCCGATAGCATACCCCCTCGCGATAGTCCTAGTCACAACTGCAATCTTGCAGGTGAAATATGTGAACCGTGCTCTCCAACGCTTCGACTCGACACAAGTGATCCCAACACAATTCGTTCTCTTCACCATCTCAGTAATCCTGGGATCAGCGATATTATATAGAGATTTCGAAACCGTCGACGCGGAGAGAATGCTAAAGTTTGTTTCTGGATGTTCGTTGACCTTTTACGGCGTATGGATAATTTCCTCTGGCCGTGGCAAGGCCAAGAACCCGGATGACGAATCCGACTATGAGAGCGATTTTGATCCTGTAGTGGGGCTAGAGCGAGGGGTAGTAACGGCTCGCAGGAAGAGCAGATCCTTGTTCCCCGACGGGCCTGACATCACCAGTTCCAGCAGCGAGGACGAGGGAGAGGATGAAACCTCTTCCACCCGCCATACCCTCTCACCACTTCTCGAAGAACGGCCTGCGGCCCCCCCGCAAGTTACACGGGGCGCCTCCAGCTCCTCCCTAGCAATGACCGAACGCTCCATGGCATTATCAGACGCTATGCATTCCGACCTCACCCACGCCGGCGAGCCCCAATCCAGCCGGAAGAACAGCCTCACACCTTCCCACCGCCGCTCGATTTCTTCCCTGCTCCCGGGACCAATCGTTGCCGGCTCGCAATTAAAAGCTGTAGTCGTCGGGAGTGTTAAGAAGCGCCGGGACGAGAGCGTTGGCAGGGAGCGGAGCAAGAGTCTGAGCTTTGTGCTGGATCTGTTAAAAGGCCGTAGGGGCCGGAGAAGTGCTGGTGGCAGTCGTGGAGGTGGAGGAATGGAAGGGTAGTGCTACGGGCTTCTGAGTCGTTTTGTTCTGGTTGGGCGGGCGGGGAGTAATCATTCGTAATTAACTTTTATTGCTCATTTTCCTTTAATTGTTTTTACTTTTTATCATTTTTAATCCCACTCTCGAGCGTTTGGTCTTTTGTGATATCCCTGTATAGTAGAACTAAATCATGCATTGCGTGGTTGGGGGGGGGGGGTATTTTGTTTGTGCGGTAGCGCAGGTAGAGTTGCGTTTGATATTTCAAATGGAGGAGAGAGAAGGAAAGAGAGGGGGGGGGGTTGCTGAGATGCGCGTTTGTTAGCAGACATTAACTTGGAAATTGTCTAGAGCATTCGTTCGGCCAATGATGAGCCATGAACGTGCTGAGAATGCAACTAGCTATGGCACTATCCTGCTATGCTCAATATTATATATTATACAACCTGAGCGGTCTATTCCGCTCTTCTAAAGCTATCATACTTCCCCAAAGGATGGATAGACAAGCGGGGGCTATCGTTCAAAGTTGTTTTTATAATGTATGATACTTATCCTTGACCGACTTCAAAAAACACTGGCCACACACCACCATACAGCAGCAGCGTATCACGACTTCACAACTAGTGTAAGAGTGATAAAACATGACTCCCGCCAATTATACCACAATTTAATATCGTATATACAACCCGTTACACTCGACCCGGCCCGACCTACACACACCTCCACTTTCCCCTAGGGTTATTGGGGACGCTCCTCCGGCCGGTCTCCTGGAAGCTTCCGCCAATCCACCCCCCCGGGCCCGCCATCCCGACGCGAATTTGTGACGGCGGCTTTATTCCGCCTCCCTGGAAGTTCCAGGGTTTCTGCGAGGCTATGAGGGTTATAGTTCGGCCGGGCATCGCTGTAGCTGGATCCTACTCTGTTGGTTCCTTCCGGCGGATTGGGGGAGGAGGGAAGGGAGAGGGCGTGGGAAACGTAAAAGTGTTTTTGCGCCCTACCACGGGCACATGTGATAATACAAGGTAAATAAAGCCGCCCGGATTGCTTTGTATCGTACTTGTAGTCTTGAACATACCCCTTTGCACCGCATCCAGGAAGAGAGACTACCGACAACCGACGAAAGAATATTTATCCGACCTGAGCGACAATTACCGCTCATTATTCCGTGGCCACCTGAGATCACTGAGGGGGCGTTTGGCACGGCGACGGCTGTGTGGTGTGCATTGCCAAATGTCAAAGGAAAATTGTGAAAATTAAGGTCAAAGATGGAGAAATCAATAATCAGGAGAAGAGGTTAAATCCCAATTCAGCAACATTAATTAAGTAAGGCTCATGTACTGAATGTTACCCTACAAAAAGGTTGTTCCCAAACTGCAGTTTGACTGGAAGAACCCACTGGAACTGCAGTTTGAGTGGGTTTACCGTCACTGTGCCAAACGCCCCCCTAAGTCGTTCAAGATCGCCGAGTCCCTTGGTACGAAAGACGAATCACGATTCTATGGACCATATAACGCTCTTCTCAATTACTTGTTTCCCTTTGAACAAGATTGTATTGTGGCTCCGCAGTATAAGCGTCCGCGGCAATCTCGCTCTGTTGATTTGCCGCAATTTTCGTCGTTAGTCACGATGAGCACCCCATGTTTTTTTACGGAAATAAAGGCATCAAGCCATATCCAGAAAATCTCCACCAGAGGAGACGCTGACCGGCAAATGCGCGAACAAATTAAAAGTTTTCTCGATAGTGCGAAAATAGATAGATTATACAGAACCAGCGCTCTAGGAACAAGACTTTGTGTGCACACGACAAAGCGTGGAAGTGGAGAGACCGATCCCCTGGGAATTATCGAAGATCCACTGCGATACTGTGCCTTTGGAGCGTTGGAGCGTTGGAACATCAACCTCCTTGATCCGGAAGGAGAGGATCGTGTGCGTGAGATTGTAGCTCACATCAATCAAATGTGTCCGGAGATATGCATAGGTTGGTTTTGTTGAAGGTTCGGGTTTGATGTGAATTGGTCGGGGTAGATGGTGGAAGTTGTGGGAGTCTGGCGGACAGCTCAGAGGTTCAATAGATCAGTGTGGGGGTTCAGAGATTGGAAGAGTGTATTCTCTATACTTGTCTTTTCTTTTCTATAACGGGAGTGTATGGAGGAAAGGACAGTATGCACGGAGAGCTAGTGATGGGTGTGGTGATCCATGGCGGGATCAGGATTCATTGTTTATGTTTTATTACTTATACTGCTGTGTTTACCGTTTTGGATAGAAAGAAGGGGTGACGAACGATGGTTGCTTTTCACCTTACCTCTTACTCTTGTCCACGTACTGCTGCCATTCTCCACACTTATCCACTCAGTCTTCCCTCCACCGCTGTGCAATTGGTCCTCCACCATTATCCCCTATTAATAGGTTTGCCGAATTGTTCAAAGTTTCAAGGTATTCTACTAATATTTTTTTGAAGCTTCCGAGAGCAATCATGGTGTGCAATTTTTCCTGCACTCGGGGATGGGCTCGGGGGGTGGGCGGGATGGGTTGGGGAAGGGAGATATGTGGTTGTTTTGGTTGGGTGTCCTACGGGGACTTCTTGGGGGGGGGGTTTAGTTGCAATGCATAGAGCGAAAGGGAACCACAGTTTAATGTACTTTGTTGCTACGGAGTGTTTTACTGTTCACGTCGGCATGGCCCGGGTGTAGTTTTTGTGTCTTGGGGTAGGCTTCTCATTATCCGCTTATGATACAGTACTGAGAAAAAGATGATTCGGTTCAGGAAAGGGAATTCGAGAAGGTCGAAATTGGTAGGTTGGAAAGAAAAAGAACCGAAGAAGGAAGCAAAATCAGTTCGCAAAATTTGTATCAATCAGTCCTTGCACTCTCGAGGAAAGTCTTATCCCTCGGTCTACTGTACTTCACTCGCACACAAAGACTTGTTCGGATCGATTCACATTTCGTTTCGTCCGATGTTCGTTCAATTCGGTTGTTTATCTACTTCATGCAGAAAGACAGGTGGAGAAAACCTCCCTACATACAGAAAGAAAAGGTTTTCCCTTCCTCCTCCCAACATACCCTATCGTTTTAGCTCCCAGCCAATCAAAACCCTAAAGAAAATACATCCCTCTCTAAATCAAAGTAAACCAACTAGCAGGACTTCAAAAATCCACAAACCAGATTTTGAGCCTTACAGTACGTACGACCGAGCTGCCAGGGTGTATTCGCTGGAAAGACGACAAACTTATTTAGCTTATTACCCTAGGGACAAGGGACAATTGGTCCGGAAGGTCCGATATGGCTTAGCGACCGAGAGAGAGATATGATAGACAGATGGAGGAGATTTTCTTGATTTCTCCTGTCGGCGTAAATAGGGAAATGATTAGGTTTTTTTTGGTATGATATATCGGTTTATATCTATGATCTGATGACAAGACTTGCTACGAAACTTATGTTATCAGACATCACGAGAGCCAATCTCTCATCACCCCCCCCACCACTTGCTCTGAACGTTCTTCCTTTCTTGCTTCAATGGATCCTGAGCCGGCGTAACCATAGGCCAGAAGCTGTTGTAATATAGAGATATTTCATGGGAGAGAGAATGCTTTATTTCCGTCTCCCTCCTACTGTTCTTACATCCTTATACTATATACTCTCTCAGCTTGCGTTTTCCATGGTCTTCCCATTTATCATACACTTCCACAGTTTTCCTTTGTTCCTCACAACTCTCAAGTCAAGTCCTCTCTTGTTGAGCCTTTGTCCTTCCCGTGACAAAAGATTCTTCTCCCGCATTGGGAAGCCATATTCCAACAGAAGCCAACCTCATTTTGCCGAGTGATAACGTGTGATTTTCTTTTGGTCCGAGGCCAACCATGTCTTCTAGATCCTCATCCGCTCTCTTAATTCTGGGCCCCTCCCCCCCCCTCCCCCCAAATTCACTCGGTACTAATACTGCCGACACTCTACGATAGCAAGCATGGATACATATAGGTGCTCCTGCCTACAATTCGCCAACGAATTTTTCAAAAGCGTTTATATTTCACTGGCTGCATAAGGTATTTCGAATATCCCCGACATGTGCAGGCCCCGAAACCAACATCGCATTCACAGCCCGATATATCTATGCTCCACCCATATATCCCCCGATAGGCAAAATGGAAAGCCCGGGAGTTTTCTTATTACCGTATCGGGGCAATATCTATTCCTCTCAGATGGAAGAACTCGAGGCTGGGTTGCCGTCCACAGCGCGCGCGGGGTGAGCCACCACATCACTGCAAAACTCCTAAACCCCGCGAGATTTATGTAAGAAGGGAATGATTAATTTAGAGCAAGTCGTATCGTGCTGGTCTACACCTCGACGAGTCCGACAAAGCTGAGCTGCTCACGTTGCCAGAGCCACCATAGGGCTGGCCGTGGCGTTCCGGGTGCTCGGATGGGCTATTGACCACTCGTACATCGGGAAGAGTAACTTCCCATTCAGTGTTCGAACCCTATAGGGGCCTTACTTGCGATATTGTGATGAGGGCGTTCTGTACACAATGCACTACCCCCCCCCCCGCCCCCCGCCCACTTGAAAATCTCCATAAACAAATTTTGAAAAGAACGCCGTAAGTTACCAGGAGTGGCATCTATTTGACTGTTGACAACCCGAGTGAATGGGTGGGTGCATTTTGGGAAAATGTGCAGAGACATGGCTGTCCCCACAACCGCCGAATTTCCTGGATACTGTACTCGTACCATTGCCTGTGGTTCCCCAGCATTAGGTTAGACCCTCTCACTAATCCGACCGGGACACAACTGTACTAAAGAATCTTTAGTGAAACTAATTTACCACCTCCGTTGAGAAAAAAGGTGCAAGTCCACTCCACTCTTAATCCAATGGTGGACACAGCGTACCACGCTATGATCGCGATTACAAAAGATTCGGAAATCCGGAGATGCGATTGCGAGGGAAGAAATTCACACGTTCCGTGTTCCGGGTATCCCTTCTGGCCTCCACAATTCCTATACCGGTACTATAAATCCCGACGACCGCCCCCGCCAAGCAAGCGCCAACGAACCATCCAGAAACAGACCAAATGGGGAAAAAGAGTAGCAAGGGCAAAACCGGCAAGTACTCGTATCTCTGACTAGTTCTCCCCCTCGAGAGAACTTTTATGGGAGCTATGTAAAACGTGTGATTAGCTATTACCGCAACCGGTGATGTCCAACTCGCAAAAACACCTCTATCTCCCGATATCGGAGACTGGGAGGAGATATTTTGAGTATTGAAACCTCGAAGAATCCAAGATTTCTAACCGCCGACCGCGGGCCCCTTTGGGGCGGGTGATATCCCATTCGTACCCTTCCATTCACCTAGCGTGGATCAGACAAATATTATGGGGAAAAATGAAGCTCAAAGGTTTTTAGTTTGAGCAATAATTTTCGTAATTCCCATCCAGATGTTGACCGTTAGTGGCAATATTGGGATTACCGTACAAAAAGAATTCGTCGAAATACCAACGACAGGCTTGTTATGAGTGCAAAATCAAACGACAAAGATGTGATTTGCTGTTTCCATCACACGAATCATGTGTCATGGCAACCAGTCCCCTGCATCCACCCAGCATCATTACAATCCCGGAAATGAGGTAGCATCAACCTCCCCGAAAACAAAACCGAAACCCATTCTAACGTCACACAGCATCACTCACCTACTGCTCTGCTTCCATTTTCTCTGTCGTTTTCGCTGTGGCTTCATACTGGGACTTGAACTCCTACCCAGCCGTAAGCCACACTCTCCGAAAACCAACCAGAGGGAAGAAAAACGGGCACAAGGAGTGGAAACGAACCAACAAACTCTCCCTCCCCCCACCAATTGCGAAGCTCTCGAGAACAATAAACGCCCGTCTGGCCCTCTCTTTTTCCCAGTCACCCGGGCGCTCAGCGCACATCCTGTCAACCAGCGACCCGAACCTCCCGGCCCAGTACCCCATGGGCATGCGCTTCCTGACATACTTGAACGCCAATTCTTCAAGCTCCTCTTCCTCACTCGGGAGTTCCTGCAATAGTGGGAGGAGGCGCTGAGGAGGTTGGATTGGGGCTGCATCCCAGCGGCTGGGTTTGCGGAGTTGTGGTTCGGCGGGTACGTGCGGCCGGATGAATGGGAGGGAGAAGGAGTGAGGGAGTGAGCTTCTAGGTGGTTGACGGCGCGAGGTGGGAGCAAGAGTTGAGGTTGGGGACCGTGACTGTGGTGCGGTGGGGTGAGCCCGGGATTGAGTCGGATTCGATGGGAGTTGGTGGGGGAGGGAGGCACGTGGAGGGCGGATAGTCGAGCCAGGAGTGCGGACTGACGTGGACAAGGTACGGCGGTGGGAACGTGCTGGGGTCGTAGCATTGGTAGAGTGGGACACGGATGGGGTGCGGTTTAGGTGATGCATTTCCTTTTATTTGCTTGAACAGGTCTGGGGGAGAAAGCAGATGTAAGGTGAGGAAGGTGGGAAGAGGTAATGGTGGGAAGAGAAAGGTAATGGTGGGAAGAGAAAGGTGATGAATGCGAGAACATAGCACATTTGCGTCGTCGATAACCCTCTATAACATGGGAAACCAGAGCACGCAAACATTACCCTCGCTTCCAAATCCACTTGCGCCGCCCCATTCCAGAACTAGCTGGGGTCAACCTCGTCACAGCCCCTCACTCGTTACAATCATACAATGGCACAAGATATCACGATCCTGAGTAAATACCATCTTTCAGAACCCCTATAATTACAGTACACCACCGCACCCGGCACACTATCGCTAGCAATTAGGAAAAAAAACCAAGATCCAACAGTGACATGGAGATGAAACAACATTGTATGTGAATTCGAGAGACCTGCAGGAAAACAAAACACCGATTTACAGGGAGACGAGAAAAACTTGCAACCAGCCAAGCAAACCAAGCAAACCAAGGAAACCAAGCCCCGAAACAGTAATTTTTCAGAAAAAGGAAAAGGAGTAAAAGAAAAGAAAAAATGGTAATTCACGGCCTTCACCAGCCCTTTAGCTTCAGTGTTTTCGATTTTCGATTTCCCAGTTTATTCCTTCAGTCAACGGCAAAAATTACATTCCTCCTATTTTCCCGTACTGCAAATTGTACTGGTTGGGGGTCCCTGGTTGGCCATTCTGCTGTTGCTGCTGCTGCTGGCTGGGGGTCGTGCTGCCTGGGGTGGGCGGGTTCTGGCTGTTTCGGTCGGTTGTGGGAGTTGACGGCACGGGGACGCCATTATTGTAAACTACGGTTCCGACTCCGTTGATATTTGGTGGAGAAATTCCCGCCCCATTAAGGCCCCACACTTGTCCGCTGCAGATGGATGTCAATACACGGTACGAACCCACGCAAGCATACGGATCATATAACATACAGATACTTGGCATCATCAATCTTCCCATCAAAAAACTTTTCCCGCATCTCGAAAAAGATATTCCCAGTCAAAAGGCTGTCACTGCCAGCCTGGTGCTGCGGTCCGACCCGCGAAACGCCCATCTCTTCCGCAATGTCTTGCAGTCCCCCTTTGAGAGTGCGACAACTCTTCATAAGAAATTTAATATCGTAAAGCGCTGGGAAGTACTTGCTTAGAAGGTTACGGAACTCACTCTCCTCCTTAGGGAGGGGGAGGCAACTCATAATCTTAACAAGGTAGCCAAAATCGTAACCGGAATGGAAAGAAATCCACTTGACGTCGTCGTACATAACTAAGCCGGAGCTAATGAGGAGATTGCCGAATTGATACACGTCAATTCCATGCTCCGCGTGTTTGGCAAAGTCGATACCAGACTTGGTTAGAAGGTCGATAGATTCCTGTGCATACATGTCGTCATTGAGAGAGAACTTGAAATTGAATTGCCAGGTGCAAACTGATCCATCGATCTTAGCAAGGTTCCCATTCTCATCGGCCAGGGTGATGCCCAATTGGATAATCTTTAGCATGTCTACATTGCAACGGAGGGTCTGGTAATGGTAATCAGCCTTTGATTTAAAGTTGCCGATCGGGCGTGCAACAATTCCAGGGAATTCGGTATCCTAACCTCTCCATTAGCAAGCACCTCCAGCACCGTCTAATATTCTCCGGCAAGGCAAGGCTATAACCAACCATAGCAACATACTGGTATGTTTCGACCAAATCCCGCAACACAGCCATCTCCTTATCCAGATCCTGAGCCCAAACGTCCCTGATCATGGAGCGTTCCGGTGGCGTGGTCACCGGGCCCCTCACATCAATGGCCATTCCACCGCTAGGTCCAACACCAACCCCCGCTCTCCCTACCACCCCACCCAATCCTGCAGCACTAACCCCTCCGCCGCTGCGCCCAATAAGCCCAATGATGGCCTGTTGCTGTTGTTGTAATTGCGCAGCCTGAGCCTGCTGCTGTTGATGCTGTTGTTGAGCTCTTACGACGGCAGCGGCAGATTGTGGCTGGGCGTTATTGAACAAAAGATGTGGAGGTTGACCGAACCTAGCAAAAATAAAGCTGTCAGACACTGGAAAGATCCCGCTCTCATCGCTTCAGGGCAAAAAAAAAAAGCTAGTTAAGACTGGATAAATAGCAGCGACGAATTCCTTCCCCGGGAAGGGGCGAGTGGGGGAGCGAAGGAAAGCAGGACCAACCTATCCCCACCCAACAGCGGATTATGACCTACATGACCACCCCCACCCCCACCGGCACCCATCGGATGCCCGCCTTGTTGTTGCGGCGCGAACTGTTGAGGCGGACCATGGAGCGTAGAAGTGTAAAGATTCGACCGCGTAGGAGGCATTGTGATTTTTCAACTTTTTTAAATTTTTTTCTTCTCAATTTTCGTTTTATTTTATGGATTTGTCGTTTCCGTAATTTTCTTCTCCCCTCCTCGTATTCGTAGCGGACGGTATGTGCACGGACGGGTGTTGTGATGGGGGTTATTGCCCAGCGGGAGAGGTGATAATTCCAAGGGGAAAAAATGGCCAGTAAGTGAGATGAGAGAAGGACGGAAGATGGAAGGAAGGAGGGAGGGTGGGTGGGAAACAAGATCTGTAGGAAAAGTAGAAGTCAAAATGAAAGGGTTCAAAGGGGAAGAAAAAGGCTACGAAGAGGAGTTGGGGTACATGATCTCGTCTAGGTCATCCAGAATGGGAGTGGAGTGGAGGGGGGGCGATGAGGGTTGCGAATAGAATCCGAGGTTTTCGTTAGAGTGTTCTGAAGAGGTAGACGATGCAGCTGATGAGACGTGGATAGGGTGCGATAAGTCTGACTGGAGAGACGCAGGTGGGCGAAGGAATGTGTCTTGTGCAGCCTCTCTACCGTACTCAACTGACTGTAACTCTCATCCTGTCCACACTCTAACTTTATAGCAGACAACATCCGCAAAAAGCGTGACCGACCCACCCTGAAATCCCAACGCATCTGATACCTTTAAGCTTAAGCGAAAAATCTTGACTAAGCCAAATCGAACCTCAAACATTTCATCATCAAACATTCTGCACCCCCACCACATCCACGCCTAACCAACAACCTACCCTTAGCCAACTCCACGCCATACACGATTGCACTGTTGAACCACCGTTTCAGAACACACATAGCACCAATCCTGCAATACAACCAGCTATGCCCCCCCAATCTCGCACGATCCCTGACGTAAATCACACGGTCCTATCCCGCTACCTCCCCCGCCTACAAAAGATTCTCTCCTTAGCCTCGTACGCGGTGCTCTACACCTACAACCACGAATCCGGAATATGGCAAAAGTCGAACACGGAGGGCTCGCTCTTCATCTGCTCCCTTACACCTATCCAGCAGCAGCAACAAGAAGAATACACAATAGTCCTGCTGAACCGTCGGGGCTTGCAAAACTTCATCTACACCCTCACTGAACCGGGGAACATTGAATACACCGAGGGTGGGGACTACGTTATGCTCCAGGGCGAGGAGGAGAAGATTGTTTATGGGATATGGGTGTATGCTGAGCCCGGCACGTCCTCCGAGGGGGATAGGACTAAGGTTGCAGAGTGGGTGAAGGAGTGTGCCATGAGGTATGCTGAGGGGGTGGCTAGGGCTGGGAAGGGGCAGGAGCAGCAGCAAGCAGTTGGGGGAGGTGTGGATCTAGCAGGCGGCAGGAGCATTTCCTTGACAGAGTTATTCCAAAGTAGCTCACTCGCCACTGCTACCATACCACAACCACAGCAGCAGCATCACCACCAGTACCCGACACAAACATATACCCCCGCGCAGCACCAGCAAGAAGGATATTTCCATCACCAACTATCACCACCACCTCCTCCTCCTCCTCAATCGCAGGAAGCCACTGGCAGTGAATCGTTAATGAGGTTATTTGGGAACGCCAGCGGTAGGTGCACTGGCAGAACTACATCGGGGCATTAGTATATGTATTCCTACTTTTATCTTTTCTTTCTTTCTTCCCAGTTGCTTGATAGGGCATGTTGCTGCACAGTATGATACGACACGTGTGCCTAATGTTATCTCACGGCGTTAGGGCTTTGTTTCAACCTATTTTGTTTCGTCTTCCGGTCTTTTAGCTTCGTTCGCTATTTTATAGGCACGGTTTCGCACAGGGACTCACTAGGCATGATAAAGATATCCATATTATCAAGAATCCACATAACCAAAGCAGAAAGAAAAAAAAGTAAATATACTACTCATAGCTTTCTTTTGAGAAAAAAAAAAGGAGAAGCTAGACAAGCAATTGCCTCCTGCTGCAAATACGTCAAGCAGAAAAACTAAGCAATCAATCAACTGGAAGGTACATAGCAAACAGCTAAGACCACTTCCAAAGAAATGAATCGAAACGAAAGAAACGCCTGCTCCCTCACTCCGGTATTATGGCTCCCCCTCTTACTCACCTTTTACCTTTCTCCAGGAACCATATCGCAAATAATTGTATCAGAGAAGTGGAAAAAGAAAAGCCGTTTTCACCAAGAAACCTCAAGAAATCTTGGGGAGAGAAAGAACCCTACCAAAACATTCCCATAGCAAATTAATAAAACAAAGCAAAACAAGACAGAAAACCTCATTATCTTTTCAAAAAAATCCTGACACTGCGTTCGCGATATAGTACGATATGACACTATGTGATTCTGGTCTCAACAGAAGCTGAAGTGGAGGCAGAAGAAAAGTAAAAATAGAAGTGAAAGTATAAGAAGTGGGAAAGGAAGAATAGCCAAAGTAGACAAGTAGGAACAGAAAAGAAATATGACACACCGTCCCGACAGTTCTCTTCCCTCGTTCTGGCAATGCTCGCGAATGAATTACCATCGCTCTGCTCCCCTAGCCCACCATTCGTATAATGCACCGCGCAACACCAATGTCACGCTCCACGCCTAGCTAATGCTCGAGAAAATAGAACACTGCTCTTTAATCTGTATAGTGTTCGCTACAAAGAAAAAAAATGGAAGGTAAAATTGGAAAGTGAGAAAGGTATCGAGTCATAACGTGAGAATAAGGAGAAAAACAGAAAAACACAAAGCAGAGCACAAGGCATCCAACGTATCGTAGATGACCATGACTAACTTGTGCATAAGACATTCGTCATTTCCAAAGCCGGCTCAAACGAAACTTTACTTCTATCCCCCACGTTTCATCCATTTGCTCCGCTTGGAAACTGTAGACGATCACATTGACCCCCAGAGCTATTTGAACTCCAAACCGCTTATTTACCGTTCTTGAAAGCCAGGAGGGCTGCAAGACTGGCCAACGGGCATCCTTTTCTCAAGAATTCGTGCTTGAGTAGTTCTTCTGCTGTAGCCCTGTGCTTAACATCGACACAGAGACATACCGCTAAGAAATTTTTGAGTTCCTTGCTCAACTTCTCAGGCTTCTTGAGGGTAGGTGTTCCATGGGTAGCAATGAGATAAAGAGCCTTCAAGGGTTCCTCATTAAGGTAAGGAGGCTCAGATTCGATCATTTCAATCGCCATAATTCCGAGGGACCAGATGTCAACTTTAGCATCGTACTCCTTCTGCTTAACAACCTCAGGTGCCATCCAGTACGGAGTTCCAACCATTGTCGCACGCTTCGACTTCTGCTCGGTTAATTTAGCGCAGAACCCGAAATCAGCTGCAATTAAGTCAGACCTGCAGCCAAGAACATATGCTAGAATGGCGTAAAGACCGATGGAAGATGGAAGATCTGCCCCCGATAATTTCTACCGCCAGAACCGGCTAGAGGGGGGGGGACAGAAGACTTACTAATTTTAACGTGTCCGGTGCCGTCAAGAAGGACATTGTCACTCTTAATATCTCTGTGGATAATGTTCTGTGTGTGGAGGTGCTCTAGGCCTTTGCAGGTCTATTTTTCATCAGCCTAAGTACGTGAAATTATCAAAATAATACATCCATCTCCAAGAGCTCACCTCAAAGCAAATTGTGGCAATTTGATCCTCCTCCAAGGTATTGTTGTCAATAACATCGGTCAAGGCACCGCCCTCCATGTACTCCATAACAACCCATAGTTCGCTCGGGCCCTTCAAGAAAGCATCCAAAAAGTTGACAATATTAGGATGCTGACTCTCCTTCATCACGAGAATCTCGTTGACAATAAGCTCTTTCCTTGGTTGGTGTGCCAAATCCATCTGCTTGATTGCTACCCTATTCGTCACACCTTTGCCAGAGCTTGCCAGCATAGACATAGACATCGAGGAGGACGCTGTACCGTTGACCTTGGCAACATAAACGGATCCCGAAGCTCCTTGTCCGACCTTCTTGATCTTGGTATACAGCTGATTCGGATCTATAGGGGAGACCACGGAGCGCAACTTATCCATTACTTGGGCCTCGGTCATGTTGGAGATACGTCTCTGGTTTTCCTTACGTTCCTGCTTCATGACAGCCTCTTTGGATGGGGCTGCTTTAGTGGGAACATTAAGTGGCTTAATAGTAGGGGTTGTAGGTGCTGGAATACGGGAAGCCTGAGCTTGGGTCTGTGGCTGTTGCTTAGCAGCACCGGCGGGTGGTCTCGCCTGCTGTTGCTGCTGCTGCTGTCGGCCTCCGGAAGTAGGAGACGGCTCCCTCAACCTCTGTTGGCTCGACTGAGAGGGCGCGCGCAAATTTTGTGGCTGTTGGGGCGGTTGCTGGCTCCGTTGGCTTGGTGATGGTTTGGGGAGAGTAGAAGAAGGTGCGGAAGGTGCAGGACGACGGGGATCCATATCGCGAAGGCCAGGTGCAGCCTTCTGAGGGGTTTTGGTCGATGTCTTAGGTGCCATAGGATTATACCTTCCTTGAGAAGAGAGCCCACCTCCACCTCCACCCATCATGATTGGCGTCTGTGCGGTACTACTCTTCTGAGGATAGTCATTTTCGTCGAGCTCATCACGCCGTTCTTGTTGGCGTTGGGAATTGTACAGCTCCTCCTCACGAAGGCGCTCTTCCCTATCCCTCTCACGTCTCTCTTGCTCTTTCTCCAGCTCGCGATGCCTTCTGTCTCTCTCCTGTCTCTCACGCTGGGCCTGCTGTTCCCTTCTGTCCTTTTCGTATTCCTGTTCACGGTAAGCGTCTCTCTCGCGCTCCCTTTCCCATTGCTCCCGATCCCGGGTATCCTGGCGAGTGGGGCCTGGCTGAGGGCTTCCGAGACTCATCTGCGCCAACTGTCTCTGCTGTGCGGCAACCGCTGCAGCTGGAGCAGGCCCCATACCATACGCATTCTGGCTATTCAAACCACGCTGACCCTCGGTATAAAACTCCAACACTTCAATAACAGCCTGGGGGTTCTTCTGGTAATCTTCCTTAGTGATGGCGCTGGAGTTCAAAAGCTTGCTCCACTCTTCGGGAAGTCCCGTAAATCCACCGCTGACGGGATCGAACCCGACATGGACTTTATGAGTAAAGTTCGTGGGGTTACTAACCCCGCCCATAGAAGGACACCTAGAATAAACGTCTTCAACCCAGTCATATAACTCCTGTTCAGATTTGACAGAAACAAATACTGTTCTCCTAGGAGCGTCTGAAGCCATCGAGCTAGCACCGTTCTGAGAAGAGGCCATTCTGACAACCTCAAAGCAGTACGGTTTCATGTCGGTGCGATTAACTGACACAATATCCTTAAGGGAAACAGACAATGTGGGGGAAGATGATGATTCGGTCTTGAGAAAGTCCAAAGAAACTTCGCGCAAAATGATGTACTTTTTCGCCCAATACAAAGACTTGAGTCCATCCTCCTTGATGGTTGCCCAACCTTCGCGGATTCTCCTATCTTGAGAAAATGACGAACCGCTACCGCCTCCTCCTCCGCTGTTCATTATGCCGGTCGAGGTTGACACTAAACTAATTGTTGAACCAAAAGGTGAAGGGGAAACAATTGTTGAGGAGGTGAGAGTGGATGAGGTGGAGGGTTGTGGATGATGGTTGCTCTGGTTAGAGTTAGAGTTTACGCTTAGCGGCGAACGAGTTCCTGGAGGTCTTGGGGCTGGCCCTGGATTAAGAAAAGAATTATCGCTGTAGGCGGACGACATATTCCTGGGAAGTGATTGATGAGATGAAAACGTACGATCCCGTAATCAGTTGATCAGAAGAAAAAAAAAATCAAAAGACTAGACACGGAAATTCTCCCCTCCAAAAAAAAAAAAGGAAGAGCCGGGGAAGCGATAATCCCCCGTGCCCAATAGTGGTGTGAAAGCCCCCAGTCCCCACAGTGACGAGATTACCGAGAAGCCCCTTAAACGACCCGAGCTAAGTAGCAAAAACTAGCAAAGTAGTAGGTAACGAAGAGGATCTTTTGGCTCTACTTTTTTTCTTCTCACTTCCTTTTTCCTAGCCGTTGGGGGGAAGAAAGAAAAGGACTTGAGGTGGAGAGCTGTCTAGCTGTCAATATTTCACAGAAGACTTGAAGTAGCGAGTGCTGGCCGGCAGTGGGAGCTGGTTGGCGGGAGATGGAGGGCTGGGGGTATGGGGATGGAGGAGGAGGAGGAGAAAAGAGTGAGGAGGAGGAAAGAGTGAGGAGGAGGAAAGAGTGAGGAGGAGGGTTACCGAAGCTGACTGCGAACTCGACCGAGCCGGCAGCTTACATGAACGAATGAATGGGCAAGGAAAGGAGTCAATGGACGTCTTAATCTTGAGCAGAAATAGGTAATTTTCTAAATAGTTCTTGACTATTAGAATGAGAGGTTGGAACAGCAGACTAAGGGATAAGTAGGGCAGACTCCGAGAAGAGCTCGAAGCTATGGGATATTGTGTACCTGTATATTTCGTTGCGGGACGTTGGCTGTTATTTTACTGTAGTCTCCCTTCTCTTGGGCTGCTAAGGTTGGTGGAGGTGCTGCTGTGGTTGAGTTGTGGAGTCGGTCGCTGCAGGAAGGATGCAGCAGACAGAGTAGGCGGGGGTGGAAGGAGGTGAGAAGAAGGGGGCAGAAGCCAGAAGCAAGAGAGAAAGGCAGAAGCAACAATGGCTGCGAGCCGGCATGCATCCCCCAAAACCCCTCCAGCAGCATCACAAAAGCCAACAGCAACACACCCAGGTCCTTGTATACTTGCTCCAATGGATGATGATGATGATACTGTAATTAAAGTCTACTCCACTCGTCCTGTATCTGATAAATGGTGTCCGAACTGATACAAAGAGCATGAGGTTCTATTACGATTCGATGAGTATAATAAGGTACCTAATATCATACTGCATGTAACGCTCGATCGATGAGAGGCCTTTTCAACTCCATGTCCAATGTTATGCAATCGAGCGAGCACGGTAGGGTACTCTACCTTATTTCACCCTCTCATCTCTAGCGGCGAGTTAACGCATCGCCAATGGCGTTAATTCTCCTATCCTCGAAGCTATGTGACCGTCTCCAATACCAGTAGCATATCCAAGCAATTTACTGTACAGTACAAGTACGACGGGTAAGCCCTGCCGAATACTTTCCTGCGAATGGTATGCACTGCTCCACGATTCACTCACTCGTTCTGTCACTAACCGTCAAACACTCAGCGGTCCTAATTACCCTCGGCATGCTGTATCCTTTCATACCTTTTCCTCACCTAACAAGAGCCACTCTAACTGCACCCTTCCCATTATTTTACAGGCATCCTTAACTCCTCCTCGCGCCATAGTCTCCGATCGCTTCCTACGGTGCCCCCTTTACGCCTCTTTATCCCCTACATAAAGGGCCAGGAAATACCGTAGTGGTTTCCTCGCCATCCCATGGAGAGAGCACACGGCTAAGCAGTTAAATATAAAGTACGGTACATGCGCCCTCCCAAAGCCTTCAACGGGCCAAAAGAGAGTAAGAAATCACAACCCAGCTTCTCCCCTCCGCACCTTCACGAGGGGAGACTGCCCAGGGTATCATACGACACGCTGTCCGAATGAACCGTGCCCAGGACAAAGGCGGGGAACTGTCTCAGGTTTACCCTTCCGAAATTTCCCTTGCACAGAGGTGAGAAAAATAAGAACAAAACGCCAAGGGGTCCCGACCATTTTTGCTTCCAACGGTGCGAACACAGTACGGTACCGGTACCGGTACTGTGCTCTTACAAGGGTCGGGCATAAAGAACCGGCACGGAGCAGGGTGTTGTTGATTTCGGTCAAAATTACGGGTCCCAGGCAAGCAATGGTCTACCTGTAATTTACCAGTACCTGAACATAGGAATCAAAAATTTGCGCCGGTACAGCAGATTGTCTTTGGTTGTTCTAGAAATGCCAAGCCTCCCAATTGCTCGACAAGAGCCTCAAAAGGTTTATCTTTTTGATGCTGCGCCGTTTGAGAACAAATAAAATCTCGTGACTACTTATCTCCGTCAAGTTAACAGAATTGCGAACACCGGTTAGTGCGATCCAACACCTGTTGAGGGCCGATCTTATACTATGTTAGGAAAACGGTAATCCTTCTCGGGAGCTTTTGACTCAGGATCCGGAGATTACAGGGCCGCCGGAGATGGTGGATTCAAGAGATTTTACGGTGCAAGTACTGGGCTCGCCCAGGGCCCTGTGTCGAGGTGCACTGGTGTCCGCAAAGTTCTCGTGACACTGCGGGTATATGCAGTGGTATCTTGGCAGTGATGATGTACCATACTAGTACCGCACCTGCACTTTGTCATTGTAGAAAATCGTTAACTTATCGCAAATCTAAACAACAAACGGGAGCGGTACTTGTATGGTACATCATGGCTGCCGAGGCACCACCTCATATACCCGGAGTGTTACGAGAACTTTGCGGGCGCAAGCACTCTACTAGTAGTGCATCTTACTGTACTGTACAAGTACAGTACTTATAGCAATCTTAGTTGTATTATTCTCCCGCCCCACCAGTGCAACTTTGAATCAACTCCAAGCACCTCAATAAACCACCCGTACCATAGCGGTATTTCTTCGAAAAAACACGGTATTCCATCCGCACCGCAGTATCAAGATATCAAATCCCCACCCCGCCAGATTCAACCGAATCAAACCAAGACTCGCCAACCGCTCACCCGCCGGTGCCCAATCCTCAAACAGTCCATTACAGTACGTACCCTCTCCTCCTCCCCCCGATGCTTGTATTTTTAGCTCGGGATCCCCCTTCAAAAGACCTAAACCACTTGTGCCCTACAACCAAACAACCTCACCCGCACCACAAACACATTACGAAAAATTCCCAAATAAAAAATCGAACCACTTCCAGCGCCTACCGTAACTCAAATCTCCCATCCATCCATCCATCCACCGTCCAGCTGCGGGGCTGCGGTGAGTTATAGATAGAACGATGAATGAAACGAAATACCGTGGATGCCATCCTTCTGAAACATGCAGGAGGCTTGCTTACTTTTTGGCTTGAGCAGCGTTCGCCTCAACGCAGCGTGCTGCTGTGGTTAGATCGAACCCAAAAGCTGTCTTGAGTTACCGGTAATTCCGTTCTGCGAATCGGTGTGGTAAGAGGCGTTTTGAGAGCTGTGGGAGTGCGTATGGCACTTTACCCCAAGGCATCCTCTCTGCCAGGGAGGGCGTGGGGCGGGAAAGCAACGGGAGGTTAATCTAGCGATGCTTATTTCTGCAGATGCGGGGGAGATTACTGTTCTATGCTAACGCTTATTATATAGGATAAGGCTTGCTTACTAGGTATTGTACGTGTACAATACCGCTGTGGGGTCCCGGGTTTGTTGTAATATTAGGTTCGTGCTTTGGGCCCTTACATAGTGTCGGGCTTTTACAGTGTCAACGCTTTTTGCATACGCTGGCTGGGAGGTATGCCTTATCGCCGTCAAGGTCTGGGAGATATATCGCCCGAACTTGTCCTGGGAGGAGAAGGTGGACTTGATACCGTTCTGATACTGTGCTACGATACAGTAATGGCGGATCAAGTACTGTACAAGGATATCGTATCGTGCGACACCGATTTACCAGAAGGACGCCAACTCATTGTGCTACAGTATTACCAGTATATAGGTCTATGATAACATTGAGTGCTGGAATTAAAGGAAAAAGGGGAAAAAAAGAAAGAAAGAACTTTTGTTCATATGGTGCTTGTGCTGTCATTCCGATTCACTTCCTGTCACACCAATCGCAGCAGTAATTCTTCTGCGGGAATCTAATCAACGTCCATCTCCGGTTTCGCAGCATCCCTCGTCATCTCCTCCTGGCCCTTAGAATTCGCCTCCCGAACTGCCGCCGCCCTCGCAGCAAGCTTCGCCTGCCTTCTCGAAACGGGTAATTCAGAAGCATCTACTGTGCTCATCCTACTCATTAGCCTCACCACACCCCACTCTCCACAGTCAATTCCAAAATGTACCTCTCATAACGACCTCACCAGCCTTACTCGCCCTCTCCAACTCCTTCTCCATTTCGACCCTCCCTTTTGCGTAGCCCTTGTTCCTATCTTTCTTGCGCTGGGCTTTACTCGCGAATGTTTTCCCACGGGACACTCCGAGGCCGGAGGACTTTAGCACTGGGTCTAATGGGTTTGTGCGTATTGCGGCGATGCGGAGTTTGTTGGAGGAGGGGCGCGAGCGGATGCGGGTTTTGTGACGGGAGGGGAGGTTGGGGTTGTTTCGGGATGGCATTGTGATTAGGAGTTGATTGTGATGGTGATACTGAATACCGGTAGAGGTGAGGAAAAATTGGGCCTGGTTTTCGGTAAACAAGTTGGTAGATAGTGTGGCTGGTTGTGGAACTAGATGTGGCTTGCTGACCGTTAGTGGGGATGGGTTTGCTGGGAGTATGATACCGTACCTTATGAGTATACGATTGATAAGTTACCATGGGGTAAATTACGGTAAATTACACTAAACAGGCAAAAAAAATATCCGAAACTGGCGTTTCCCACCTTAAATTTTGATGCCGGGTAATCCCGTTTTCCATTCAAGATGAAGCCACAAGCTACACACGCTAATTGGTTGATTTTCTATGAGGAACCACACACTGATCTCTGACTTACAACGCCACTTCAAGTTGTTAAATCTCAGACTGACTCTCCTCATCAGAGACAAAGGGCCCGGGGAAGGAATAGTATCGGTATCCGGACTGAGTATACCTTGGGGAGCTGAGCTGTTCTAATAGCTAGTATTCGTTACCGTGTTTCGTCAATAATAGCCTCTGCTAAGCCTATTGTAGTTTGAGCAGCGATTTCTGTTGAGATACGGTACTCGATACCGTACTCGAGTGGTGGATTTACCACGGGAAACCCTCCTGTTCGAGTTTGGTCATCCGAGTCAGGGGGCTGTCCAGGTGGCTTGTGGTTTTGTCTCTTGGTTTACAGGTACGACAGGCATTCTTGGCAAATATGTGTGAATGCTGTGATATATCATATTATCATACCCGAGCAAAAGCGAGTTAAGGCCCAGGCTCTTCTCACGATAGTCCGGTAGTTGTGCCCGGTAACATACCGCTTGAACACACTGGGGACTCGGCGGGGAGCAAGTGAGGGTGAATGATTACACACAAAACCAACGAACCAATCTTTGGTGCGAGAATGACTTACAGTATGTAGAGCACAACGCAGTATGACAGGTTCAAGCTGCATTCATATACCGGTATTCGAGTAGCTCCCGATGCCTGAACTACTGGTTCAACCCCCCCCCACTTTCTAAGAAGGATAGATAAAAAAACATCAGACCTTATTAGGAGAAGCAACTCCAACGCCCTAGCACGTGACCCGATTGTTCGAATCCGTATGGCGCAGTAGTTGGCCTTGCGTCATATCTGGCAAACCGCCCCGGGCAACACGATACTACACTACTAGCTCAAAAGGTTTCGTCCGATGCCCCTTTTTTACACCAAAAGTATCCAACTTCACCACCCTCTCTCACAGCACGGTGTTAAGGAGGATGTGTCAAAATTTGGTAGTGCATTGGCAAACCTGTAGAGAATATGGGGGATATTACAGAGTTTTTAAATATTACAAAGCAGTGGAGAAAACGTCATTTAGGTGTGAGCTTAAGGTCATGTATGTACTTTTTTTGTATGGAGCCCCGTACAAAAATCTAGGTCAATTCCACACAGGCCAACGCTATTATAAACAACGAGAGCTCTTCTATGATATAATACATTGGAGGCTCGACGGAACGGGGAGACCTTAGGGAAAGGGAAACGGGGTTAAGAACTTGCTGTCATATCATACCCACAATGCTCGCCGCAAGTAGTAGAGTACACTGCGCTGGTGAGATAAGTATTTGTTCCTATGCTAATATTCTGTGAAATGCCTAGTGGTTAATATGCCAAAAACCAATTAACCTCCTGTGCAGTGCCCAGGAGTTCAGTTCAGGTTCGAGACGGAGTCGTTGGATTCTCCATCACGTAGGGCACGATATGATACTTTGGAATTCCTGCGCTATTGGAACTGGGAGAGAGGAGGTGGAATCCGACTCTGGGCTCATGTCCTGAGGGGGGTTGTCCGCGATCGGTGGGTTTTTTTCTCCCTTTCCCTTCCTACTAATCCATATGATTGCAGTTAAAATAATCAATTCCTCGATACGATAGACTCTCTGGTAGCGGTATATCTTTTCCTCCAGCTCGGAAGCACACCTAGGACTTGATTCCACATCCAAATATGCAGCAGAAAGAAATCAAGTTCTCGTGGAAACTCCTCTTTCTGAGGATTTATACTCCTGATTACCACTGCTTTATATCTGCTGAGATTGTGCATATTTTTGAGCTTTATTATTTTCATGTGTTTTTAGTTGTGTGGACCTATACTTGGGCAGTTGTTCTGCTTTTTATTTTGGCATGTCAGATAATATATAACTTCATGAGCACAGCTTTGATCCTCTGCAGTTCTACTTCTGGAAGTTTAAATAAATACCAATTATCCATCTGATGGAGAAATTTGATGGAGAAATTCAAAGCATTTTCAAGAGGGTAACATTGAGAATCGTTGGTTTTAGAATGCCTTCTTTTCACAATGTTAAGTTTGGCCTAAAACCCGGTGCCGGACGAAAACTTTTGAATTGGATACTTAACAAGTTCCATTAGAGCAATGGAGGTTGGAGTTCACGCTTACTATATATCCTCCCTCAGTTGTGGGCATTTGTTTCTTTTCTTTCTTTCATTCATTCTCAAATCGAGTTCATTCTGAGGGTAGCACGTCATGAATACAACCACAGTGGGTGCCGTGTCTGAGCCGGGAGTCCACCATCTCAACGTTTTTCGGACGAACTGTGGGTTTCGGGAAACGGCCTTTAAAAGGACCCCAGGTGTGGAGTGTGTGTGTGAGTCGGAGATTCGTGGTATGTAATTGGTTTGAGAGCTTCTATATAATTTAGTTGGCTGGGAGTATAATTGGATGAGAATGGGTTTTTCTTTCCTCACCAGAGGGGGGCGCATTCCAACGGGGCGGGTTAGGACTGACCAGACATCTTTTCTTACCCGGGTATCGTGCGGTAAACGCAGGGCATTCCCGAGTGATTTTTCATAGGCTGGCATAGGGGGACCCCGGTATAAAACATCAATCTCGAAGGATGTGATACCCGTTGAACTTCACTAACCTTACCAAGATCAATGGGAATTTGGAAGTAGCCTTTTTCACCTGTCAGGTCTTTGCCCCTGTCGGTTCGTCCACTTCCGGAGCTTCATCGAACCCGTTCCCTCGGTCGCCCTGCTTGAGTCGACCCATCAGTCAGATGAGCTAAGGCTCCACTACTACTCTGCTCCTCCAATTTGCCCATCCTCTGATCGACAAAAGTGCTTAAACCATGTATTAATACTCAAGACAGACGAGACGAGCCGAGGCGTTGTAATCTTCCAACCCACTCGGTCCCTCAATCCCATCTTGATCCCCCTCCCCTACCGAGAGTCCAGTGTATTGGGATATGATAGTTGAACGAAGGCGCCAGGCCGGCAAGCACCGAGATCTCACGTTCACATGGAGTGTGGGTTAGTTGGGAGGAAGTACGTATGGGAAGGGAGAAAAGAAGGCTACGGCGCCGCCCGATGTAATAACCCCCCCTCCACATTCCAGTCCTTAAAAAGCATAACGAAAATGTATCAGGCATATAAATGTGCTTGAAAAATTCGCCTTTTCAAATAAGGAGCGTTTGACGCGCCGACTCCAAATCATGTTTCCAAATCACGCTGTGATTTGGAAGAGAGAGGGAGTTTGTTTTGTTTAGTGCCTTGGAGGTCTGATCAAACCTGGGAGGGGAAGAAAAGAAAAAAAAAAGTGAACTCTGAACCGAGTAAACGAGTTTTGTGCCGGTGCGGAAATGGTATATAATACGGATTAATGTCGAGCCTGTCGAGCCTGGGTTTTGATGACGATGGTCTTTGGAAGGGAAGGTTCGTCAACGTGACTATCATGATTATCGTGAAAAACTTTTATTGATTGTTTGGCACTCTTGCCATTTCAAAATAGTGATTTGAGAATTATTGCAGCTTTAGGGTTTGACATGTGATTATTTATTTATTCAATGGGAATCGCCGCGCGCTAAACGCCTGCTGACAGCATTGATATGCGCTGGTTTGGGCTTGAAAAAAAAAAAAAAGGAACGATCATGACATATCACTCGGCTGATTAACGGCATTTGTTGGGGTGATAGGGATCGAAGATTTCGACACGGACAATAGAGCGACTCATTGTCATCTAGGCGGTTTTTCGCTTCTGGTTGTGGATGATCCCTCCAAAGCGCTATTTGATCATGAATAGATCTGTATTATAGTTCTCGATATCACCTCCGGGAAGATATCAAGATGTCTTCCGGCGCGGGATTCTTGAAACTTTACAGGATTGCTACGATGCAGTATTTATATACTCCTACCTCCCACGCCTCTACACCAATCTCCCACAAAACCCACTCACACAAAACATACATACAGTACAACAGCACCATCAAACAAACACACAAAAGAAAAAAAGCCAAGAAAAAAAAGGACACTTAAAATGGACACCCACCAACAAACCACCCCGACAACCGCCAGAGACCGCTTCCACGCCCTTATGAAAGAAGCGAAAGAGTGTTCCCACTGCCTCCAACTAGCCCTCACGCTCTCCCGCCACGAGATCCCGAACTCGGACATGCTCATGGACGCGCTCCTGACCATCGAGAGCGAGATTGCGGCCTTCGCGGTGGTTTCCCTGAGCCACCCGGCGCCTTGGGAGCTGCTGTGTATGGTGCTCAGAGAGATTGTCAGTAGATTGAGGGCTGTGGATGGGATGATTGAGGAGCATTTGGATTCTCTGGGAGAGCAGTAGCGTGAAGGCTGGGGCTGGGTGATGGGTGGATTGGGAGAAGAGGATTTGTATTTTGTGGGGAAGAGATTAGCTCGCTTGATATTATTATTATTATGTTATACCATATAATAGCGTTGCTGGTGTCTCCACCGCTGCGACATCCTGCGTCCAATTTGAGTTGCCAAGTCGTGAAAAGAGTCAATTGGTTAGCATGTCTAGTCGTTAGCGGTTCTATAGCACTGTGGTGATTAGCGCTGAGCGGTTGAATAACGCCGGGGGCGGGGGGGTAAGCAAAAGTGAAAGGGAAAGCAAAAGGGTTCTTGGGAAATTACCCACTCTGGTGATTCTCATATCATACCATTCTCTCCAGAGTGTGGGAGAGCCAAGCGGAGGAGAACGGGACAAAGGGCGCATTTCCATTTGTCTCGGGCCTTCCCTTTACTGTGCTCTTTGCATGTTTATCTACAGCTACAAGTTCATCTTGTATCGTGTTTTTAATTATTAAAAACGGAGAATATTGCATGCACCGGTGCTGTCACCTTTTAGTTTACATAACCTCTGACCTGTACCCTTTGAACAAACAAGATAGAAACAGGAAAAAGGACCGGACTCTAATCCGGATTTGGACGACTCGGTTTTTTGACAGGAGAGTTTATGGAAAGACGGCCCTAATGCAAACTATGCCGCGAACACTGTAGCTGCCCGAAATGATAAAACATTATGTACAGTATCATAAGATAGTTTCCAAATTTCATGTCGAGCCACAAAGATTCCTCCTACACAGGACTACCATAGAAAGTGATCATGAGCCACAAAGCTATGTTGGGCGGCAAAGTTATGTTGAGCTGGCGAGCATTCGGGGGTTGTGACGCCCAGTCACAACCTTGGCACGACTATATGGCGGGTAACTTGGGACCCATTTCAGGTGTGATACTGGAGTGGAATGAGTTTTCCTCTACGAGTATTTCCTCCAACATCTTTACTTTCCATAAAAATATTCTCCAGCCATACAAGCGACACTGCAGCGCTGAAGATGTCTTCCAGCTTTCGTCGTAAGTACAGCCCGCCGTTCAATCCCTATATGGCAACTCATTGACAAACCCTCTCCGCAAGAACTCGCCGAGAATTGGAAGGACCCGTCGCTACAATCATCTCGGGCGGTGTCCTGTTAGTGATGGACACGATCATGCTCGAGCATAAACTGTGCTTGAGCACACCCAGATTTTGTGATCGATCATGATTGTGTCCATCACTATTTCCTGTTTACCATGGATCTTTTGACTGGGTCCGATGCTCGCCATACCAACGAGCGGATAGCCAAAGCCAACCAGAAAATCGAGACCATCGATCAAAAACTTCGCACCGTCCACGCGAACCTGCTCCGCGAAATTATCCTAATGCAAACTCTGTGAAGAGGAGCATTGGTGATGACTGCCCATAACGACGAACAATGGAATGCCCTTGCAGACGGGTTGGAAAGTTTTGCGTTGTGTGGAAGGAGCGGTGGAAAATATTGTGGAGGGTCCTGAAGTAAGTAGATACATTGAGATTGTCATCTGTCCTGATTGGCTATACTAATGTGCTGCAGACTGCGTGGGCCCACAAGAGGGGGGATAGGGTGGGGGCGGGGTTCCTTTTTTTTTTATTGTTTTTAGAATGAATCAAATTAAGCTAATTGGAGATTGCTGTGTTACACTTGTTGTCAGGTTCATGTGACCGTGGTAGACCTACTATAACAGAATAGTATCCTATTAATCCTTTGAATCTACCATTGCTTATTGCCTGCCGATAGGTTGGGTTGCTCATAGCATGGCGCGGTAACCTTACCAGACCTCGTTGGAGCTTGAATCATCGATAACCTTTATTTTATGCGTAGCATTTACCCCCCCTCGCAGTAGAACTGCTGAGAAATTTGAACCCGGAAAATTTATTCTCGTCACTTCCAAGAGCATAACCACTATCGATGTCATCGTCCTCGCCTGTTGGCATTTTATCATTCTCTCGATCCCCTTTCGTCTACATAATCCTTGCTTCTGTAGCCACCGCTGTCTTCACTATCATCATCGGATCTCTCCACTTGATGGTCTCCGACTCCTTGGTAGAGCTTTTCGCAATTGTTCATGAAAAATTGTATTTGGTGTCTAATAGGATCAAGTTTCCTTTCCGCATCTTACCCTTTCTATGATAATATAATATTATGATATGAGTGTTGGTCCGGTGGCAGCAAATCTTATGACAAGTATTCATACGAGTGATCTTTGGTGATTATGATGTAGCGGTTCATCGTGCATTCGCGGCTCTTCGTTTTCAACAGCAATCCAGCACACTCCCCCCTCCCCTATGCTTTCCCACCTCTTCCCAGACACCAGCACCTCGTACAGCCACCTCACCCGACTTTCCTGGTCAAAAATCGGCTCTCTGAAGGGAGTGATCTTGACCCAGACCAGTTGCAAATGAACTCGGTCCACTGCGGGAACAGGGTTTCGAGCACAGAGTCACGGGATCCGGGTTCATTGGTTAGGGTCCGGGAGAACGGTAAATACAATGGAGCTGGCGGATGTTGAATTTGTTTAGGGTGGTGTAAGTTCTCTTCTAGGGCGTGGGCTTGTTGCGCCATTGGGGGGGGGAGGTCAAGCAGGACCACGTGGAACTTTGGCATATGGGTGGAGCTGGCAGTCAAAGCTGGGATAGATGTTTGGAGGTCTGCGAGGAGGGAAAAGGTGTTCCGGGGAATGGAGAAGTGGCTCGGGGAGCTGGGTGGATGATGGCTAGCATTCGCCAGGCTCCAGCTTGCGTGAACATAAGTATTGCCCGAAGCATGTCCATGTGGGCGAGTACTATACTATACTTTACCTTTCCCCCTCACCGACTGGCAACTTGGGGGGCGACATAATATCTACTTTGGTAAAACTAATAATCCCCCTCCAGGTTCCAGCCAAACCACCCCCAACTCCTCTTGGGCCTATTGATTTTTCCGCTAGTCAAGGAGAACGACCCCAGCGATGCACGAAGTCACTGTGAAAACGAGGGGATTACTTCTTCCTCCTCCTCTCCCGCTACTTCCACGCTGCCAACTAACCTCCCTAACAAGGCTTCCTATCGTGCCTCCACCTCTGCACCGTCAGCATTGCAGTCCTAATTTCCTCCCACATCAGGCATGAGCCAAGCGAGCTCGAAGAAAATCCCTCCCTTCGGCTAGGGGTATGCTTTTATGTGCAGAGTGCTGCGGGTTTGCTTGTTTGCGGGGGTTGGGGAAGCATGTCTAGGGTTTTCTCAAACACGACGAATAAGGTATAATGAATCATATATTTTCTCTTACATATTTCCCCTACGACGCCATATCTCGTAGTAATGATTCGCTTGTTTTCAAGAATCGTGAAGCCAATCTCCGGTTGTCAATGATATGCGATGGCACTCCAAACCTTTTCCGGTGCAAACGCACCTCGCACGAATAAATTTAAGTAACATCATGGAACAGAGAATAACCACGTCAATGACATCGAAAACCGCTTTCGTGACCGACGACAAGCGGTTAGCGTGAGACCAGGCCGCAGTCACATTTTGTTTGCGCAGGGCTCAGTTGAGGAGTTTTTTTCTTTTTCAAATATTAACGGCAAAATGTGAGTCGCCGCAAGAAATCACACAATTGACGGTTCGGGCCAAAAGCGAAAGTCACAGTTGGCCTGATGTTAGCGGTTGGCGTGCGGATGCCATAACTCGTTCGAAATACACTCCCCCCTCACAGCTAAAATCCTACTGAATGGACCGTATTCAGCGCAGCTTCTTGGTAGATTGGAGACTGCCGTGGGTTTGCTACAATGAGCCGAAGCTGGCATTGTCGATAATTAGGCTTATGGGAGGTCCCGGGAGATTCGAGCCGTGGAATTTATTCACCACTATTCATGATACATGGTTGCGGGTTTCTCGCAGTTTCAGGACAGAAGGCGAGGAAAGGTTACTCGAGTAAGTTCTGATAGTATTGACCTCATCATTGCAATTTGATCATTGTCGTCTCGGCTCCACCCCAAAGCAGAATAGAGTTTTTACAGCAAAAAAAAATCTATAATCAGGGTTCGAAATGAAGGCTCCCTTAAATTACCGTGAACCGGACCACTGTGTGAAGCAGCGATCCATCGCACGCAAAAACGGCCAAGTACTTGTACGCACAGCAGAGCAAGTAAGTCTGTCCAATATCGCACCATCTTCCTTCCCCTCTGGCCGGAGTATTGACGACTGACTCGTGAAACCCACGGGAAGCGAAAAACCAGCTATCATAAGTTTATTTGTCTCGCCGGTTCCGAGTGCTAGGGTGGAATCTACTTTTCTGTAACGATCAAGCATCACTCATCATGAGTCTCCGTGGTACGCTAGCTCTCACTCTGCATCCGCTGGCCGCGAACCCTTGCTAACGAAATTTCCCTCGCGATAGTGCTCACTTCCGCCTACGCGAATGCCTTGTGCGCTTTCACCATTCAAGGCGTCTGCACCACTCCGGTTATCCGCCACAGGGGGAAGAGCACCCAGGAGCTCACAAAGAAAACCGATGCGGACGTCGGGGGAGGGAGGGAACCGGAGGCGGACATCAAGATATTCGGGTTGAAGCCCGCGGCCGATATTTAGTCTTGTCAACTGCTGAGTGGTGTTAGAGTTGGTTGAGGAAGAGAGTAGTGAGTCGTAGCTGATCGTGGAGTTGTAGATGGTTTTCTTTTATTCTGGAGTTACTGCGACTTACGGAGATGTCTCTAGATATACGCCTCTCATTGGTTATCCCGGGAGTACGCGAGGGAGTGGGGACCTACATGGGTGGAAAAAGTGGTATATACTGTGCTCTCTGGGGGGGATCGGGATGATTTCGTTATGTTTTATTAAATTATAGGACTATTAGTATAGAAAGCGTTGAACAAGAGCTACACCATAATGGTCGAGTCCCACCCGGTTCCATTTCTCCATCGCTGCGCTATATTAGTAGCCCCAAGAAGATAGCCTTGGGATAACTTAGCTATTGCAACGATAAAGTATCTCTTCCGGGATGGAGGATAGTCTATTGAAAAGTGGGTCATGTCTGACAACCAGGATTGTGCCCCTCTCAAGCCTCTCTCCTAAATGCCGAGAAGTGCCGAGGAGATCTCAGTCACAAGCGGGCCATATTTATCCCTTGGTTAAACTCGCAGCTCGGCGTTGGTTTAACATTCTAGGGCGTTCCGGCTAGCTACGATAGCTCCATGGGCCATGACCGGGACTATCGACAGAGCGGTTTACTATTTTAAAACTGGGGTTTATTTATAATTATCATTATTATCATTGATACAGTATTCTACTTGTGTACCTCCGTATATTCCGCCAAAGGAGTTTCGACGTTAGACTTCATTGATGAGCATTTATAATAATTTCTCTACTCTACCATCCCCAACGTTCAATAACACAACTCCCTATACAAAAAAAAGAAAACCCAAATCCACCTACTACCGAGGTAAGTACCCACCTACCTACCCACCTACCTACCTACCCCCTCACAATGAGTCATCATGGCTACCGAACAACCCGTGAAGCACGGCAGGAGGAGGATCGGGGGGAATCATGCTCTTCAGGAACCACTCAGGAGAGCTTAACCCTAACCTTCCCTCAAGTGCTATAGCGCAGAACGGGCCCGCTGCGAGACGGTACGATACGATACATGCAATCCTGCTCCAAGCTATAGACTACATCCCTACCCGCCACAGGCGGGGACGAGCCCTTGCAACCGGCAGAGCGGTACTCGACCGAGCGAGCCCTTGGAACATTATACTACTCGCCAGGATCGAAAGCTTATACCCTTCAGCACGCACCTTGCTCGTGCTGTGCGGCAAGGATTGCACACTTCCTTCTCGGCACAACTGAGGACACACCAGTTTCTGGGGATATCTGATGTCCCCGGACGGCTTATCGACGTGATCCTCCCGTCCTCAGGGATGCCGGGGGAGGAGAGCGATTGCCGTGCCTCGGCTAGCGGCTTATGCCCCCGTGGACGGACTCCCGGTTTTGGCGAGTGGACTTGGGCGGTCGGGGATTATCGTTGGTCTAGGCATGGGGAATCACTCGTTATCAGGTGGGATCCTTTGTGTTGTAAACCAAAGATAGATATCGACAAGTAGAAGAGGAATTGCGGCAGAAGAATTGCTTGATTAACTATGGTGCTTGGGGGTGTAGCTTTATACCCGAGTACCCCTATTGTGGCTGTCCGTATCCAGAATCACACAGACCTCTTGATGCTAGTTTGCTAGCTCAACCGCCAAGTATCGTGAACCTCCACAATACTAGTATCAATACAGTATGATATCCGTGTATTCCAACACTTTGGAGTCTCGTTTGTATGACAGCCAATCATATTCTATCGTGGTAAAGTGTGGATAGCAGCGGAAGGTGTTTCATAGCTCGTAATGATAGCGTATTAGGGAATATGTTGTTTTCGAAAATATGATAAAATCTTTCTTCCAAAAAAAAAAAATGATGTACTGCACATGTTAAAGAGGCTTGGATAAATAGGGAAATACACTGGCATTTTTTCCAATAGTGCTGATCTGGATCCATCAACTACTCGTACTTCGCTATCCTGCCGGCCTCGGCCAGCGACGGATCGCTCGCCATGTCGCTCGAACCCAGGGCTCCCACTGCTCTAGGATGTTAACAGGGGGTTGCCGGAGGAAGAATGAGTTATCCCGACTGATACTCAAGTACCAGTGATTATTTTGCTTCCGGAGCTGCCCTTCGCCTGTATGGGACATTGCTGGAGTGCAATTGGGAGGGTGATGCTGGAATTGTGGGATTTTGAGGATATATTTCCCCATAACCACAACACAAACATCACCACCCGAGATCACCAGTTCCGACTGACTACTCTTGGACCGTGTTAAGGATTGCAGAGAGATACATTATCCCTTCATTTATATAATACATCATCACGGCTACTAATAGGATAGTAAGAAAGTGGACTGTCAAGCGACGGGATATGAAATATGAAAGAAGTAGCGGGGTATATTTCCCCATACAAGAAACCGGCAAAGATAAAAAGGGGGAAAAAGGGAAAAAAAGGTACGATAGTTAAAAGGTAAGGTAACAGACTTCCAAAGAATTACTGAAGAATGTGGCAGAAGAAAATGAAAGGAAAGGTACGGCACAACAATGGTATTCAACGAGAAGATGGGAATAAAGAATAGAGAAAAGCAAGGAAGAAAAGGGAGTTACGCCTTTGGAATTAAGGATCGGGTCAAACGAGACAATGTGAGAAAGGAAGAAAATAAGAGGAGAATAGGAAAAGGAAAAGCAGGAGATGATAGCACACTAAGCTAAAACTAACCGCCCCAACGACACGCAAAGCACACCACCGAAAAATAGCGAACAAAAAAGAAACTTCAAGCAGACGCTTCCACTCCCCAACCACTTCCGCCCTACCATCCGAAGTGGCCGGGATCCCACTCCTGCCCCGGATACGCCGTCGCTGACATTACCGGTTCATAATCATTGTCATCACCCCTAGCCGGCGGCTCCACCTCGACGCCATCCTGTATGGCAATCTTCTCCTGCGAGTAATCCACCTCGGGAATCTTCTGGACCGGCTGTCCCGGGGAAACCGCGCGCGTGGGGGTACCAGCCTTCGACGATGAAGAGTTCGAGTCCTCGGTATAGAATGTGCCAGCTGTTTTACCCGTAGCTATGGAAGCCGTAGTTGGAGGTGGGGATGGTGAATGGGGACTTCCCACGTTGACCGAGGAGCCGACTGCGGGAGCCGGAGAGCTGGGCTTTGCAGCTTGCGAGATCGCTGGGGAGGAGCCGACTGGTGGGATTGCAGGCTGTTTCGAGGGGATAGGGGGCGGTGCCATGGATTGGGTTGTTGACGAGCGCCGGGTGATCTCGTATTCCATTTCACTCATAGCTTGTTGGAGGCCGACCGGGGAGGCGACAGGATATGCCAATTGGGGTGGGGGGGTATGGGATGCCTGAGGAGGAGGAGAAGCGTATCTAATTGAATCCCTCACAGATGGCTGGGGGGAGATGTGTGGGGGGGATACATATCCAGTTGTAGACCTGTCACCCTCGCCTGATGGTGGAGGGCCTTGGGCACTAGACACAGATGCAGCCCTTGTGGGATTCTCCGAAACAGAGCTCATGGGAGCGTTTCTGACGGAGTGAGCATCGACATTGGATATTTGAGGAGAAACCGAGCGAGTATGCGACGCCTGAGTACCTTGACGGGAAAGTTGTGGACTTAAGGAAGGTGGGGGAGGGGTTCCATGGACCCCGGATCCCCGGTGGGACAAATCTGGACTATGTTTGTGATCAACGGACAAACGGTGTTCTCTACCCTGGCTGTTTTGATGCACATCACCCCCACGATCAGAGTGCCTATGCGAATGCCCTTGTTGACCTGGTGGTGCTGGGGAGCCCTGAGATGGCTCCGGTGATTGCGGTGGCGGGAGCTGCAGTTGTGGGGTCTGAAGCTGTTGCGTAAAGCTCGACTGTCCAGAATTATATGGGCCGTAGAACTCTCCTTGTGGTCTACCATAACCCGTAGGAATAGGAACTCGATCATATCTTGGCTCTTGAGGGTCGGGCCCCGGCAAAGGCGGTTGTTGACTGGGAGGCGACTGGCTAATAGGTTCCAAAGTCTTAATTTGTGGAGGAGGGGCTTGACCTACTGGGCCCCGAGGATGCGCTAATTGCTGTTGAGGGCCATCCCACTGTCTAGGGGGGCCTTGGGGCTGTTGTGGCTGCAGTTGCTGTGGGGGAGTATGGTATGCCTGTGTATTAGTAGCATAAGCACTCTGGCTCTGTGATCCAATATCAGGTCTAGGACCAATTGACTGAGATTGCGGTGGTGGGCCCTGCTGTTGCGGAAATTGCTGCTGACTAAACCCCTGTGGGGGGCCCTGTTGCTGTTGGTGAAGAGGCCCCTGCTGTTGTTGCCGCTGCTTGGGCGAGGGACTAGGTGACTTTGATAGTTTGCTCAACATAGATCCAGTCCTCCCAAAGACATCCTTTGAATATGTTAACGACTTAAGCCCAACGCCCCCCATCCGAGAACTTACAATTGAGAAACCCTTCTTATGGGCAGGTTTTCCAGCACCACCGCCGGAATTCCTCTTATCCTTGGACTCCTTAGACTTCAATTTGAGAAAAGAAGTACCTCTCCTCTGAGCCTTTTCAACTGGTTTAGGATCCTGTTTCTCACTCGGACTTTGCTTTCCAGTCTTTTCCACTTTAGCACTCAAGCTACTAAAGAGGTTCGAACGTCGCCTCCCCTGCGAACTTGACGTAGATGGCTCATATTGACCCTGCGAGTTTCTACCTTGGAATTCGGGAGATCCTACATCTGTAGATTCCCGCCTTCCACTAACGTTACTTAAAGTCTTCACCAAACCTGTTGAGTTTCTCTTGAGTCCTGGTTCGGGCTCAGGTTGATTCTGGGGCTGACCGTGCTGGCGAAGTAGCGAGCCAGGAGCACCCATTGCGCTAGGTGAGACCTGACGGAACTGTCCTTGTGGTGGCTGCTGCTGTTGGGGTGGTTGAGCCGTTTGATATCCAGCGGCACGCGGTTGAAACCCTGGTTGATATTGCCCCTGAGGGGTGGGGCCACGCTCCTGATAAGGGCCCCGAGGCTGGAATTGTTGCCCTTGCGGACTATTCTGATAGCCTTGAGGCGGCGTTTGATTCGGCCCTTGGTTCAAATGCCCTAGGAACCTGTTTTGCCCATTAGACTGTTGAGGCTCCGGGCCAGTCCTTAGCGTCGATGGGCCTTGCGGGCCTTGCGGTGGATAGCCCTGAGTTCCTGGTTGGGATGCCGGCCCGAGCCCAGCGGCATATGGACGCTCCCGGACATCGTCGAACGGTTGTTGGGGGCGTTGCTGAGCTTCCTTGCCTCTCTGGTCGTGTTGGGTCGGGGGTGACTGTTGTTGTCGAAGATGAGCAGGCGGCGCATATAAATCATCATCGGGTCTTCTCGGGCTTGGGGGGTTTTCCTGGATTGGCTCTGGCCCCCTTAGTTTATTATACATGAAGCCTTGCTGCTGGTGACCCTCATTAGGACTGTGAGGGTGAGTTCCAACGTGATAACTTTGAGACCTTGCTACACCCGCGTGGTCGTAACTATCGGAATGGTTAGGCAACCTATCTGAGAACGATCTACTGATAGGATTGGGATCTTCAGTATCTACGGCTCGCGCTATGGGCGGCTGAGGAGACCCGTTCTGATGTTGGGGTGGTCTCTGATTCGTGGGAGGTCCCTGGGGACCACCTGTCCAACCAAGATTCTGCTGTGGCGGGCGGCCATTTTGAACAAAGTTCAACGAATCACATCTGGCAGGGTGGGTAGGACTGTTCGTTACGGAAGATGTTATGGAATCCGACCGACCCGCAGGCCCACCGGGATGGATAGAAGAGGCCAAGGAATCAGATCTTGTGGATGATTGTCGAAGCGGTGGAAGGTGCTCATGCGCAAAAGTCAGTGAATCCGCTCTGCCGGGAGTCTGCGCAGTCACAGGAGAATTCACAGCAGAGTTCTGTCTTTGGGTATGGGACAACAAGCTATCTGTTCTCTTCGGGAATGGGTGTTGGGGTGCAGGCGGCGAAGGATATGTGTTCTGGCCGCTACGCCCTGTTGGTAGTGAAACAGTCAGTGGTGGTTGAGAATGACCGGGACTCTCCCCACTCCCCTGTGAGTGCGGTATGGACCCACTACCCGCAGGGGGTCTATCCCCTGCTGTCTGACCAGGCAGCTGGGGCAGGGAAGCCTGCGTCAGTGCACCTTGTGGGGGTTGGCTTTGCGTAACTGGGTACCCCTCAGGTGTCTTTTGTTGATGCGAAATGGGAATGGCAAGTTGGGGGGGCTGATCCTTGACCGGGGGTGGTGGAAGAGGCGATTGAGATGTCTGCGGAAATCGCTCCGTAAAATTAGGCTGTGGGCGTCCACGTTGTGGAGGTGGACCCATTAACCCTTGCTGAAACTGTCCTCCATTGTTGAATTGACCGTATTCCTGTTCCTGCTGCTGGGGGCGATGCTGATAGCCCCGCTGTTGTGGTAAGGGCTGTGCTCCTTGGGGTATTGGTGGTTGTGGAGGTCCTGCTTGGCGATGATGCGGGCCCTGATCTGTATCCTGAAGCAGACCTTGAGGAGGATTATGCATACCCTGCGGGCCTTGAGGATATTGACTAAGGTTCTGAGGGTGTCCTTTGTGCTGCCCTTGATGGGACACACCTTGCGTGGGGGTAACCTGTCCTTGCGAACCCTGCTTCTGATCGCCATTAGGCGGTAGCGCACCAACCAAGCCAGATGCGGTAAAAGAATTTTGGAACGACCCAGAGGATGCTAAAGTCCTTAAAGACCCAGCAGTAGACGGGGGAAGATATTGTTGTCCCTTCTGCGAAGGCTGTGCTACCAGTAGTACTCCATCCTGCCCTTCCTTGTTATTACCCTAGATTCCGTTAGCGACGCCAAAGGTTTGCGATGGCCGGACAAGATATACCTTCTTTAGCCTGCTGAAAAAACCCCGCGCTTTGTCAACCACTGGACTAACAGGACCACCAGGCGCGCCGGGTGCTTGGGAAGCTGTATTTGCTCTCGGGTCATCGTCGCCACTATGTCCCTGAGCTTGTGGAGCCCAGTCAGCATGTTGCGCGACTGGCTGATGTTGGTATTGCTGTGGAGGCCGATTCGGAGCATCGTCGACACTAGGCCGTCCCACCCCCATGAATGCTTTGCTGGTTGATTTCTTCAACACTTGTACTGCCGCCCCCGGCCGTTGCTCAACTTGAGTCTCGAGCAACTCTTGGCCACCGTTCTCTTCCATCATCCAACTAATCCAATCGTTCAATCCCGTCTGAGACTGTGAAATGGCTTGCATTGCTTGGCCATAAGCAGTGATTCTATCTTCGGGTTCCGGGAGTTTGGCGATGTCCCGGGGTTGCAAATGCTGGCTCGCTCTCCCAACATCAATGTCACCTGGAGGATGCTGATTCGGGTGCACGCCTGATTGAGTTGAGCCTTGCGTACGTGATTTGCCCAACGCGACTGTATCCGTTTCCGAAGTGACTAATTCTTCATCTTCATCCTTGGCACTGAAATCCACCACCTCCGGGGCCACTTCCTCTCCCTCCTCTTTGGGGGGCATAGGCGGCATAACCAAGACTCCAGAGGGCATCGGCATAGTATCCTTCAACATTAGAGTCTGGGGGCGCGAAAATTGATTCACCAGCTCCCTTGCGAAATCACTCTGCATAGGAGTCTTGTCCCCATCGTCCTCTCCTTTAGGTGATTCCGGGCGAGGAACTCTCGTAGGCCCACCGATTGCCTCCATGCCCTCACTATCGGGCCCAATAACACGGGCCGGTGCGGCAGCCTCTATCTCCTCAATCTTCTGATCTCTCTGATCTTGCATTGCATTTTCTACCTCTGATCCAATAACTACTTCTTTTGCCTTTCCTTTGAACTCAACATCCGGCGTCGCAACGTCATCAGGTTTTTCAAACATCATTTCATCACCCTTAACCCTCACTATCACATCGTCACTAATCACCCTGCCGGTACTATCGGATCTAATAGAAAGTCCAGTCTGAGTGCGTGCAAGATAGTGCTTGCGGGCAATCATCATCTCCATCAGTTCGGAATCTGGAGTTCCCACTACCGATGCAGGCGTCGGTAATGATGAGTCAGCATGGAAAGTATTTTCTGGAATGCGGACAGGCGGGAGTGCAACCCCAGATCTCCCGTCCGGAGTATGAGGCTCGGCGGTGGAATGTGATGGGACAGGTTGCAGAGAAGTGGGCCGTTGCTCCGAACCCGATCCAGATGTTTGAGCAAGAATCTCCAATTCCTGCCTCGCAACCTCGGCTTCTGGGGTCGCACTAGGCCTGCGAGGATTCTTCATCGGCGGAGGCGGAACACTTTCATCTGTCCAATAGCTATCATACAAACTTAGAAGACCAATGCTCTCCCTGTTTGGGTTGGGACGTTGAAACTGCGATTGTGGCACGGGATCCACAAACTGCTGTGGTGGAGATGGGGGTTCTGGAACGACTGGAACTGGAGGCACAACTTGGCCGGCATTGTCCATAGAAGCTCTATTAGGTGGTGGTTGAGGCGACGCAGTCTGAGAACGCGGTGTAGGAGTGTTAGCCCGTACCAGCTCTCCTAAAAAGCGATCAAGATCATCCTTCTCTGGACTGCTTGCTACGGAATCGCCACTATTTCCTGCTGGCTGTAGTGAAAGACTCAACCCTGAAGCCGAAGCCCGTGTATCAGACACCTCCGGTTTCTCGGTTTCACGGTGTGGGCCAGTCGTGTCTGGAGTGACCTGATCTAACTCTACTTCTACCCCATCCGGCACAACAGACGGAACTACCGGAGTTGCGCTCCTCCCAGGACCCATCGAACTCATTGGCGATGATGATCTGCTCAGATCCGTACTGAGCGACAATGCTGGGCTCTCAAGTCTCGTCGCAGGACACGGGGGGGTCAATGATTTAGGCTGGGGGGTCGGGTTGCTAAGGATTGATGGCGATGGAGACTTGGGTGGTGGAGGAGGCACATTAACAGGTGACGGTGGCGACCCGGGTGGGGGCCCCGGTGCACCAGCAGCAGAGGGAGACAGTGATCTAGGCGGAGGAACCGGGGCACTAATTATTGGTGGTGATAAAGACTTGGGAAGAGGGATATCGCGTGGCAATATAGGTGATATCATGTCTCCTGGAGGACTATTCAAGTCCCCCCTATGAGGAGAAATAGGTGTCGGTACCAAGGTATCTTGTCTGGTGAAAGCGTGATCCACCATTGACCTAAATCCCACTCTCTCCATTTGTGGGCCCTGTACTGGATACGATCTCCCAGGATCCGGGGTTGGGTGATTAGTTGGGTATACCGGCGTAACAGATGCTCCATCACCACCCGCCTCTATAGGCGGGTGGAAGGCACTTGTGTGCTGGGAATCCCCCGCTTCTTCTGGCGAATTGGCGTACCCCGATATGATGTCGTCATTCCAAGACATAGCTTGCTCTTCTCTAGCAATATCATTCTGACTAGTGACCACAGAATCCATTGGGTGCTGGAAGTGTTGGGCCACTGGCACTACAGGCGAGCCAGGTACAGCTGGCAATGCACGAGTTGGCGGAGGGTAGGGGTTAGGGGTAGTCACCCTTCCTTGACGAGAAGACGGACGAGAGCCATTTCTTGAATTTGGACGACTTCCAGAACGACTTCCGGGGCGTGAATCTTCGCTATTGCTCTGGCGGCTGCTCGGTCTGCCCAGGCTCTCCCTCAATTCTCGAATGCGCTCCGGACTCTTAGCACCTAGTAGAGGAGGCGACTCAGTAGATTGACGACCCAAATTATTAGGCCCGCCAGAACATGGAATGGAGGTAATACTATCTGGAGGGCTCATGTTGGCAATTCCCTCTTGCCCATCTCCTTCAACCCCTTTTCCCTTTGCTTGATTCATTCGGGCCATAATTTCTGCCGGGCGGATGAAGCGCCTCGCAGGCTCGGGTGAGGTTGACTGTGATGGTGGTGGGACACTTGGCGGGGAATACGTAATTTCACGAGGAGGGGAAGGGGAATGGGCATGGACATGCCCCACCTGCTGACCCTGAAAATCACTCTGATCATCATTAAGCTTCACTCCTCCCCCCGGACCAGAGAATGCCCGATTGCCTCCACCGGAATCAGCCGTCACCTCCTGATTGGAGGATTCTAACGGTTCTGCTGGCGGGGGCGGTGGAGGGGGGCTCCCACCTGGAGCCTGGCCCCATTGAGGAGGATATTGAGGGCGTTCTGACTCCTCCTGCGGCACAGGAGGGGGCGATGGGGACGGAGTCGGATGTAGTGAGGGATTCGCTCTCGCAACTTCACCCCCCGAGGTCGGAGACGAATCTTTGCGGATTGGCAATGGACCCTCCACTGAGGCCAAGGAGTGGGCGAAGGGAGCGAAATTCGCATACGGCTGTGGAACTGACGACGGTCCAGGCCCCATTCCAAGCGGGGGCGGCACCACATCTCTTCCTGATGCGCCGATCTCTCGGAGAGGAGAGGGTGGTGGAAGCGGAGGGGAAGGAACCGCAGAGATGTTTGGAGACGCTCTCAAAGGCGGAGGAATTTTATCCTTAACCGGTGGGTCCGGCAATTCCCTTGGATCCGCGAACGATCCTGCTGGTATATCTGGTAAAGAAGGCGTCCGAGTCGGGCCCGAGGTTGCCGATGGAGTATAAGGAAGCGTGGATAGTTGAGGTTTGGGCTGCATTGGATACTGATGTTTAGGATGAGGCAAGGGAGATTGGTCACGCAATGCTCTCTCCCTCTGCTCCAATTCAAGCGGGGTGGGCGGTAAGGGTTGTGTGATATCCGCATCAGTTGTTTCTATCCGAGGCACCGCGCTTCCGTTTCCTCGATTTCCAATTATGGGGCTCACAACGTCATCGCCTCGATCAAACGAATTACTCCTCTGCAATGCAGAACCCCTACCACCCATCGGCGGAGGGTCATAATCTTCCTCGTCGTCAAAATCACTATCATCACCCCATCCACCACCGCCATAATCTACGGTTTTCGCCTCAACCCAGCGTCTGGATTTCGCCCGATTGACATTCGTCTTGAAGGTTCCCGGGGATAGCGAAGCCGCGGGCAATCCGAGATGAGGTAAATTTCTGCAAGTTGAGGCGCCCAGATTAGCTCAAAAACGGTTCAAATGCACGCGAAGGGGAAAATCCGGGAGAGGCGAAAAGAGAGACACAAACATCGGGGACCTCGTCTGATCGAACGATGTATTATAAGTAGTATTATTGTTAGACATCTCGTCCTGCTCGGGAGCTCTGGATGGATCCCGGATGTGTAGAAGGGAGGAAGGAAGAAGGAAACAAAGTAGAAAAGGGGAAAAAAGACGGCGAAGACGAAATCCAAGGTCTGCGACGGTGATGATTCGTCACCCTTGCCGACACGCACCAGTGAGTAACGAGATGCGGCTGAGAGAAGACCAAAGAGAGTGCTCGTACAGCGTCAGTTTCCAGACAAATGGGTCGACCAAAACGATTTGGGTGGATGCGTGGGGGCAAACAAACCAAAATTGCGTGTTGATTGAAGAAGGAAGAGAAGAAGGGGATTAATTAGTGGTGGATCCTTCGTCTCGTTTTTCTCCCGTCAGCAAGAGGAAACAATAGAATACCGTAGACGCACGATGGATGGCACCGGTACGGTAGCGTAGCTCTACTATGGCGGAAGTCACCTCTTATTTTTTTATATATTTTAATTATCCTTATTCTTGCCCTCTCCTCCACCTCTTGCTGTTCGGTCGGCTTCGAAAAGATTTCAGTTTGAACCGTTTGCAATCAATCAATCGCACGGCAAGTCAGGTAGCGCGTGCAAGCTGAAGTCAAAGTGAAAAAGTGATTGAATTCTCCTCTCTCACACACGCACGCACACGCACGCACACCTTGTTTGTACCTGGGGAAGCTGAGGATTGCAAGGGGGGAGAAGAAGGGTTGGAGAAGTGGAGAAAAAGAGTTTGACGTCCAAAGAAGGGGCGGGGGGAGAGAGCGAGGATCCTCAAAAGGGTGCTGCTACGGAACTGCGGTAAGGTAAAGCCTGATTTCGATTCATTGACTCCTAAACTGGACTCAACCTTTAACGAAACACCCCTGCGAAGCGCCGCTATGATGGCCACTGGTTGGCTAGTTTGGCGTTGTGACACCTCAACCAACTCTGTTGTGGCGAGATGTGGCGCCGGTGGTTTTTAACCCCCACCCGAAATGGGATGCGGCATAGTGGCAGGATTGCGCTTTGTGGTCACATACAAAGTCAAGACTGCATCAAAGCGTATTCGAGATTTAATTGGTGGCCGCGATTACAAAGCGTGAAGAGAGCACTGTGCAATCGTGATTGAGAGGATTTTAAGAATGGAAATGTTGACATGGGGCCTAAGGCATTATAATAGGGAGGGCCGTAGCAGCAACCAGCGGGAATGCAGTCAGGTGTTAAACGCCTTTCTGGAACAAGCCGAAACGCGCGCCGTAGATCATAAGTGAGGCAGCTATCGGGGTGAAGTAAGGTAATTTTTAATAAGACAAAAGTGGGCAAAACGCCGAAATGCTTGCACAAGTGCTCGTAGGCTCTAGTTCAGGCACGCTCCAGCTGCTTTGTTCGATGCACTGTACACGGCATTCAGCCGTTAACGTACCCAACGGCGAAGCGGGCCATCACCATGAAGCGGGCCACCGGGACTCCCCCACAGAAAACATGACAATTCAACCAATTCTTAACGAAATTGAACAAAAAGAGGAGAGATCAATAGATAAGAAGTATGAGGTAGAGTTTAGCATTGAAAATTTATAATGAAAAAAGAGAATTTACCAAGAACTGCTGAAAAAGGAAAAAGACAACAAAACAAAGAAAAGATAAGAGAGGAACAAAAATTAAGGATTTGGATTTCGTAAGACCATTTTAAAGGATGCTGTGGGTAGTCGTCTATTGGTAGGAGTAGCGAGGGGAACAAGTGGAGGAGGTTGGCGGGAGCAGCGAGGTGGAGGTGTTGGTGAAGTTGGTGAGAATTCCGTTGTATTACTACTATCACTGGTAATAGTAATATTTTCTGGAGAAGAAGAAATTGATCCAGGAGAAGTTAGTAAAGCAAAGCTCATATGGCGTCGGCGTACTGGTGTGATCTGAAATGGTATAAGAGGAGTATTTTTTGTAGGTTTGTGATTCAAATTGGCTTTACGAGTAGCCTTATCATGATCTTTTTTTTCTTGAATTTGGTATAAATGCATAGCCTCCACACCATCAATAACCCATGCAGTTGTAAGATGACATTTATTAACCTTTTGCATAATAGCAATAGTCTCTTGACAGTCAAGTCTGTGTTCCTCTTTAGCAATATCAAAGCTGACTTGCACTATCACACCAAGTTCTCCCAAACGTGTTATCAATTTCCTTAGTTTCTCATTAGAAACCTTTCCAATAAGTGCTAGGACCTTATTGGTTTCTCACTGGAAATCAGTGCTTTTGTGAGGTGTTTGTAGGCAGGAAGTAATATTTGGTGTACAGAGTGGGATGGCATAAAGTGGAGCAGTTGAAAATTGTAAACGATCCAGGACAACCTTTAGACTAAGGAATAAGACCATAGGCATGAAATCCAGCCTGAATGTTATTCAAAGTCATTGCCTCCTTCCAGGCCTTTTTTAGCAATGACTAAAAGGTGCCTTTATGTATTCTACCTCCTTGATGGCGAGAAAAATCATCTACCATAAGCCCATAAAAATGCTGAAGTGGACTAAAGACTGCCACATCCAAGGGCTGAAGTAAATGAGTAGAATGAGAGGGGAGACAGAGTAAAAGAATATCATGATCCAAATAAAACATGCAGAAATTCCAATTAAGATGAGAAGAGTGTCCATCTAAAATAAGAAGCCGCTTTTGCCTTAATAAAGAAAGAGAATGTGCAAATTTGACAAAATGTCGAGAAATAAACTCATACCCAAGAGATTCATCAGTCCATCCCTTATTTGAATAAGCTAATAATACATCTGGATCATCAAGACTCACATACCATCTGTAATGTGTTCGCAAGGTGCTAATCACGTTATCGGTAATGGATACGATAGTTGGCAGGTGGCCTGCTCTTCCGGAGAGGAGGCGAGAGCTGAGAACTAAAGGAGGCTTCGAGGGTGTACTGAGGAACAAAGAAGTAACCGTTCAACTAAGTATATTGAAATACTGTCTGTCGAAGTCTGCCTTTTCTATCGTAGAAACAGGCGGTCGTTAAATACAAAAATCTGTTCATGTCTAGCATGAACGAAACTAATCAAAGGTATCAATCGATACACTCTGGTAAAACTAATTAAGTATTAAAGTGATACTTAAAACAAAACATAAAACAAAACCAAGTATCAAAATATACTTAAAACAAACCAAGTATCAAAGCGATACTTAAAACAAAATATAAAACAAAACCAAGTATCAAACGATACTTAAAACAAACCAAGTATCAAAGCGATACTTAAAACAAAACATAAAACAAAACCAATTACCAAGTACCCGTACCAGTTACACCATCCCATACTATGTCCTGCTTTTGCTTTAAAAATAAAAAAAGAAGGTAAAAAACTACCATTACCACATATAGTTTCCAAGTTGGTAATTAGCTCTCTTTTACCATTATGAGTAATTCTGGGATTTTGTCTCCCCACTCGGGTGATGACCTTTGTCTTCGCTGATATTCCCATTATGAATCCCTTCTCATCGATGTTGTATATATGGTAAGGCTGTAAATTATGAACCATGCAAAGGCGGTTGAATTTGCGAAAATAGTTTTTATCTTATTTGGATCATTGGCGTAGGCACACTGACATTCCAGAGAACTGCTATATTGTGAGGCTATATCCCGATTACGATTCAGGAACCGGGTTAACCAATTCTTTCTGACTCCTGTATCAATTACCCCCTCTTTCTTCTTTCCCACCAACATCTTAGCCATTCCCTTTACCATATCTAGCCTTGGAGGAAACCCCCAATCATCAAGCTTCTTAATCCAGCATACAATTGCCTTCTCCTCTGCTGGGGTCAGGAGTTGCTGTTCAACATGGGCTGCCTGTCGGGAGACTCTTTCGCCTTTGATCCGATACCCGAGCATCGATCTAGGAAGGTCAAAGGCTTGGGCTGTTGCTGTTATCAATGGGTAATTGCCTTTCTGAAATGCTCAAATTGCATCTAAGATACTCTTTTCCAAAAGGTCCTCCTTTCTGGCTTTCACTCTTCCCATTGCTGTGTTCGCTGATACTCTTTATTGTAAGTTTTGTTGGCTTCTGGTTGATGAGATGTGGTAGTTGCAACCCCGCACTGTGCCGCCCGCTTCGGCATGTCGGCCCGCTTCCCGATTGGGTACGTTACCACAAAAAGCCCATCGCCAGTACCTCAAACGTGTTGTCAAGCTTCTCCAACAACTTGATCGTCGCGATTCCAGCTAGGTCTCTTCTCTAGGCATCGGGATTGTTGTTACATGCTCCGAAAATTAGCCCGACCCGAACTCCGCCAGAAGACCAAGCTCTGTTCCATCCGACTAGCCAACTGTATGACCGCCTTCCTTGAGCTTAAGCTAGGGGTTATAGGTATGGTACGATATCATAACACGATACCTTACGGTGTCCACCATCTACCAATATAAAGGAAGAACATGATAGTTGATTTGCGGCAATTCAGCCCAAGCGGGCGCCATTTTAAACACCCCGGAAACAAGAGCAAAATATCGAGACCACGGGACAGACTGCAAGCACGATGGCTACTCGAGTGCACTTGAGAGCTCCGACGCAGCCGGGAGTTTCGTTCGGATACAACACCGAGCTGTTCCTATTCTGTACCCGCATGCTACAACCCTAACACAGTAACCCTAACCAGACCCTCAACAATGCCAGGCAACTGCATAATAAATATTATTATCATAGAAAACACGTTCCACTAGCCTTCGCATTGAACAGGGCCATGTGTACTCGAGTATATACAAGGGCAGATCATGAATTCATGGTATCATATGCAGCAGGGATCAGAGGATACGAGTGGGTGGTACAGTACTCGTAGTGGCACAGCGCTTGTAGGATGTGTCATCATAACCTCGTCCAATTCAGAGACATTGAACTCGACAAAGCAAGATCTAAAGAAACCAAACATACCGGTATCATGATCAAGGCCAACTGCTACTAATTATTATCATTTTTCTTTCACCTTTCCTATCACTCATTCATGGCCTTGGATTGGAGCGCACGCTACGGTATTCCCAGTGTTGGTAGATTACTGTACCTCCATAAAGGAGGATGACTACCCCTGCTCCATACGAGTACCCTGGGTTCATGATCTATCCTTGTAACCACCGCTCCTGCAAGGTCCTTCTCAACATCAGCCTTCCAAGCGACACATCATAGCGCTATTCCTCCCCAGCGCATGTGGGGTGAGCACTATAACTTGACCGTCTCTTGCCACCGAACGCTACCTAACGATTACCGTACCCATCGCGAATAACAAATCGTCAAGGCAAAGTAAGATATTACCCCGACATCCCGCACTAGACACGACTGCTCACCCGGGACAGCAGAATGAAGATCCAACCTGGTCTCGCTTATCCCGAAGCCGCTCTACCAGTAGAGGACTGTATTCGTAGAAGGGAGTTAGGTGCTTTCCCATGCTCGGAAATTGTATGTGCTCTATGCTTGATGATCGCAACCGGCGCTTACGCCAGACAAACGCAGCTGGAGGAGCTGGAGCGGGATTTTCAATTTTGCGTCGTGATTTTAGAGAAACACTAACCCACGTTAGGGACCGAGCAAGGTCTGTTGTCGGTGTTATGATTGAGTGTGGCGATTTGATACCGGTATTGTTCTGTACTCGAGTATGATACTACTCGTGATACTGGTGAGTGCACTGTGCTTTTACGGTAAGTACCGTTCTGTGAGAGGCGGGTGCTGCAGCGAGCTGCGGTGTCGTCTCGGCAGTGCACAACACGTGTCCAGCGACCAGTCGATTGGGGTGGAGACGATAGGGTACCAGCGGCGGAATAATGCCATCTTTCAACAGCTTCTCCTACTACCGCACAGTACGCATCTGCCAACCAAACTTGCTATCCCCGTCCCGGCATTTCTCGATTTGCCCATTTAGAGAATATTTCCGCAACAAATGGCGTTACTGTACCATACTCGAGTACTTGCAACTGGAAATGAGTGCAGGGTATCAAGGGTAAGTTTACCGAACCCCTCTAGTTGGCCTAGTGGCCTCTCGACCACTTAGGGAACGGGATTCTCTCTAGCCTCTAGGCATAAGAGTTCGACCGATATTTTTTCCTTCCAAGTTTAAACGCAGATTGGCCGATTGGCCGAGTCGCTGCGGGGGGGGTGCGGTTACACACATAGTAATTTCGACGAATGAGCTAAAGTTCGACAGAATTTGATTGCAGGTTTGCTCACATCCTAAGCACAGTATCATATTGTACCGGTATTTGAAGATATGATACAAGCACAGTGCAGCAATTGTTACAAGGCCACCCAACCAGTGGAAAAGAAAACCTGTCTCATTCTTCAGTTACCGGCACTATTGTACGAGTGCTTTGTGCCAGATACACGGGTACGGCGCAAGTACAGTACTTAAGGGCACAAATTTTATTGGCAAACCCCAACCATCACAATCCCATTCTTCGCGCGAAAAGTACATTGACCGACTGAGCCAGATGCCGGGACGGGGATGGCTTCCGCGATGCTGCAGCTCCAAGGTATGTAGTGGAATGCCGCAGTGCCAGTAGGGCAGTACGGTGCTGTACTCGTACACAGAGTCCATCGTACTCAAACCGTAGGCATTCCCCACCCGGAGCGCACCGGTGTTCGAATTGTCGCCCACAATGAAAAACCACATATCGTGCTGGTGGCAATCTCACGGTCGGCTGCCGTACTAGTTAGTATCATACAAGTACTCGCGCACCGGGTTGATCCTCGGTTCTTGTGCGCACACGCAAGTTATCGTTTCACATTCACCCACCCACCCAACCAACAAGCCTCAAACCCCACGCTCGCAATGCACCATCGGACAGTCAACGGACAATCGTACTTGTATCACGGTACCCGCAGCTGTTGGGGTGGATTTAAGCGCCGCCGAGAGAAATACGGTGAGCTGAAGGGCAATTTTGCGCGTGCGTTCGGGTTAGGGTTTTGGCGATGGTGGTCGCGCTTGGAAATGATAACGGTGATAGCTGAGAAGGGGGTTCCACTAGACCTCATCACGCCGAACACCCCACCGGCCCCCATCTTTCTTGATCAAGGGGATAATGAGATGGGCGGACAGGACAGTGGCGATGCCACGGGGGGTTATAATGAATTTTCTAAGACCAGCTATGTCGAATCTATAAATTTCTGGTTCTTTCTTCCCATCCAACCTGAAGCGCTTGTGCAGTATCATGCTCCTCATTGGTTCCCATTTCTTTCTCTACCCCACAGATTCAGCGGGGACGGCCGCTTTCGATACCCCTAACCCGCCTAACCCACTCTTCTCCTTGCTGACGCCGATCCTCCCCAAACCGTCATCGTACTTCCCTGCCACCGTCAACCCTTACCCTCCCCACCGACCACTGGCGTGACCCCTGCTCATCCCCCGCTCCAGCCCTACCTTCGATACCTACCTGCCCTAGCGCAGCGGGGGTAGCTGAACCCCACACACGATCAGATCGTGCCGGCAAACCACGTCTGTATGCGCCCTGCCGGGTCCTAAGTACTAGAAATTGGTAGAATTGACCCAAGTGGCGGTGAGATTGGAGCTACCGGCTGAGTTGGAGTATTGGTTGGTTGGTAATGAGATTTCCTTCCGGCCTTTGATTATTCCAAGGGTTACTCGAGTACGGGAGTTAGTATCGGTGGTAGGTTGGTGTGCATGATATAGCGTCACAACCTTCACAGGAGAAGGAAGAAGTGGATAAGTAGATAAAGAAAGGGGAATATAGTAGGCTAACTTTGGTGACCTCGCTGCGTGATACCGGTACTGTATGAGCTAGTTAATCGAGTGATTCTTCATGCTCCTTAGCCGGCCGGTTTACGTGATCCCCCGGTCCGCGTTACCACCAGGGTTTTGCCGGTCGCGCTGCCAATATATGAATATGCTAGCATCAGCTTTGGTTTCGGTGAGCGGGTATTGCCCATCGCTTCAAATCGGTCACCAGGCGAGGGGGTGGGAGGGGTGTGTGCCCGGTGAGCCAAGGTATGAAATGCCCAAGCGGGGCGGAGGAACCCCGCTCCGGCGTCTACCGGAGATTTGGGGAGATTGAGGGCTCATGATCTGTCATTTATGGTGATTGCATTACTCCAGAAAATAAAGGAACAAGTGGTTTCTAAACTATGGTAATGAGGACGAAAAACTTAATGGGAAACCACCTTACAAATAAAGATGAGGAAAGCGAAAGATGAGGGAAATGAATATGGTTTTTTTTCTTAAAGATACAACGTGGGGAATGGGAAGTATGGGATAGTTGGGGCGAGTGGCTTACTCCTCCTCCCTGTCCTCCTCGTCGTCAACATCTTCATCCGTATCGGTGGAAGGGGAGGCGGGCTTTTCGGTACGGCTGGAGGAGGACATTCTGCTCTTACGACCCATCCGGCTCGTACCCTCGCCCATTTTATTGCGCATACCTCCCATCGCACCGCTCATGCGATTGCCCATGTTGCCCATCATGTTGCTCATGCGGCTGCCCGCACCACCCATCATGAAGGGTTGGCCCATGTGTGCCATTGTGTAGGGCATCACAGACGGCCTTATTCCACCCATCATGCCGCCCATTGCGCTCGCCATATCACCCATCCCCGACATACCTCCCATGCCCAGTACACCCATCATTGTTGGCATGCCGCCCATCTCCATCATGCCGTCCATCCCGGACATGCCCATCGTACCTCCCATCCCTGGCGTCATGCCCGGCATGCCACCCATACCCGACATCATACCTACCATGCTACCCATGCCGCCCATACCCGACATGCCACCTGTGCCAGGCACCAGACCCTGCATACCACCCATACCTGGCATCATACCTAGCATCAAATCTGGCACACACCTGCCGTCATATCTGGCGCCATATCTGACATCATGCGTGGCATCGTACCTGGTGTACTGCCCATACCCGGCATGCCACCCATACCTGGCACCATACCTGGGTGGGCCATAGGGTTCGAAATGGTGTTAGCGGTATGGCCAAGAGCGCCAAGAATAGGGGAGCCAATACCTGGGGTCAAAACTGGAACCGGCTGGCCGGGAACCTGTGGCTGTGTAGGGGAAGGACGGAATAAGTTGGTGAGAGGGTTGGACGAAGCTGGAGCGGCCGGGGGTGGAGTGACCGGTGGAGTGACCGGAGGGGGAGAAGCAGCAGTAGGGGAAGGAGTTGCAGGTGTCGACGGTTTCGGTGGCTGTGTCACTGGCGGAGGAGCAGCGGCACCAGTTGCAGGAGGAGGATTAGCAGTGCCAGGAACTGGCGCAGGACCACCGCCTGGAGCGGCAGGCTTTGCTGCTGCTGCTACTGCTGGTGGCTGCGCGGGAGCAGGTGGCTTAGTACTCGGGGGTTTTTTCACTAAGCTTAGGAGGCTTCTGCGAACCACTAGCTTATCTGGCCCATCGCGCTTTATCCTTTATAGATGTTAGCCGGTCTTCATCATTCGTCCCTTCAACAAAAATAGTAATTTCCGGGCCGCTGATATTCACTTAAGATGGGTTTCCACGGGATTGATTTTAGTCCTGTCTTCCTCTGCTACGTCCCTGTGCTTCTCTATGTTGACGTTGAGATTGGGTTCTGCGGGATCTTGTCCCGCTAGCGGGGCACATGTCACAGAAACAAGCAGAAGTGCACCACAGAGTGGGGCCGAGAGCTTGAACCGGGTCATTGCAGTGGCGCGAGGATGGCCGACCCTCGTAATATACGTTCGGCTAGTGCGTCGCGGTGGAGGGTGGGGCCGGGCTGGCCGTATTTTTGTGTTTCGTCAGTTCGTAAAATCCGCATTATTTTGATAGAGAATTGCTCACTAGCTATTTAGAGGGATTGAGGATGGGGCTTCTAGAATTTGGTAGAAAAATAGGTATGAATGAAAAGATCAACCTGAGATCAGCTCGGGGGTGATAGGGTGGGAGAAAATGGATTGGTACGATAAGTGACCTGGCCTATTGGAAAAGGGAGGGAAGAGTCAATACTCTAGCGAACATAGGTGCCAGGAGGCATTCACTTATACTCGTACCTCATCCTAGACCCCCGGAATTATGTTCTATTAGAATATACGGTGACTTGCTTACCCTCAGCCGGTCAGCGGATAATTTCGGTGGCTTCATTCTTGTCTGCTACGTTAGGGTTGTCTGGCCGGGAGGAGGGCGTTTGCGTGATGCTTGGTGAGCGGAAAGATAGACCATCGTTCATGACGAATGTTGGATTGATGAATGTTGGATTGATGGAAACACTAATAGAGATGTGGCCCCAGAACTTCTGGGTCAAAAGCGCTGACCGCCCAATACTGCTGATTGTTCTCGGCAGTCCTTTAGATGTGGTATTATGCAGGGAGGTACAGTACGTCTCATGCCCTCACCGAATTCATGGCCTAGCTGATATCCCCGAGCAGAACACATCAAGCGGTAATATCTTATTCCTAGGACTTTCCAACGTTTTCTTTCGGATTCTCTACGGCACCGGAGTAGCATACAGTACGAGCATGCCTCTTGCTCTTAGGTGTAGGTCT